TTATCCAAGCCCCGAGCTGATGAATTCGGCTCTCCATGGCCGGAACGGGCCAGTGCTGCTAGATCAGCGCAAAGGCCAAAAATTCGGCTTGGTCATCCTAGGCAGGCGGCCACCATGACGCTGGCGCTCGATGGAGGCACTGGTCACACCAGGGGCGCTCCCATGCCAGGGCCTCGAAGACGTCGGTGGACGTATACGGGTTCACCAGGCGTTTCGCCTTCCCGTCAGCCTGCTTGTGCTGGCACGGTGATGCCGTCCTCGACCGTGACATGGGTACTGGACCGATCGGTGGCTGCATACCCCTGCGGCTCAGGATGTTGTGTTCCCACCGTGGTATCCTGGAAGGTCTTGTGCAGCCACTTCTTCATGCCTTGGTCACGGATCACCTTGTTCAGCTCTGTGTCCCGGCGGCTCTCCACGAAGTTGTTGGCATCCTCAATGGTCTCTCCTGCCAGCAATGCACGGCAGAGGATGCCTAAAAAGGCACCCCGGTGTCGCCCCTTAATGCAGTGCACCACGACGTTGTCCCCGTGCCAGACCGTATTCTTTACGGCAGGCCACACGTCTGTCCACTGCTCGTTGCGTTCCTGACTGTATGCCGCCGCAAAAGTCATCAACTGAGCCCCGGGGAGGGTCACCCCCCCCCCGGCTCTCAGGACCATGCGGGAAACAGCAGATTTGCAACGCCGTCTTGGGGAACCTGTCCACGGTCTGCCGCATTGGAAGCCCCGCCAGGTAGATGCCACCGCCCTTCCTGGACGTCCAGATGCAGGTCGGCGCTTGGGCCGTCCCTGAACCGACACCCAAACGCTCCAAGTGCCTGTCCAAGGTGTCTCCTGCCGCCTTCCCACGGCCTTTCTTGGGCAAGGCTTTGGTCTGAGGCTTGCCAGGGGCTGCCATGTGCTTCGGCGTGGTGGCTGAGGCCATGGGCTTTGCAGCTGTCGCCAATGGCTTGGGTGTGGAGGCCATGGCTTTTGGAAGCGTCTTGGGGGCTGCAATTGCTGGTGCCTTCGGCGGAGTCTTGGGTGCAGCCTGGCCTCTAGCTTTCTTGACAGCTGTGCGCATCACATCTGCGATCTCATCAACAGTGGCACCGCTCGCCGCGGTCCTCTTTCTGCTGAACCTGGCCTTCTCCCCAACGGCTGCCGGCACGAGAGTCGCCGATGGCTTGGGCGCTGCCGGCACTGCTGTCTCGGCCATCACTGCTCGCTTGATTTTGCAGACGCCAGCGCCGTGTTTGCCGCCACATGCCCGTCCTGACTTTTGTAAGACGGCACACAAGTAAACTCCGAATGGACAAGCGTCTGCCGGATTCGGGCACTCGTCCGTCTGGAACTCCGGGCAAATGGCCTTGCCGTTCTTCAATGTGGCTGTCAGCACGTTGAGTTGGTCAGGCATCTGGGGTGCCGGTGCTGCTTCGGCCTCCTGCCGGGCTTGCTGTGCAGCTTCAACAAACTGTTGTGACAGCTTGAGCCTCTTCTTCACATCTTGGAAGCTGTGTGCAGAGGCCCACATTGGTTGACGGTCTTGCCGCAACAGCCTGTCAGCTTCGGCTGAAGCCGTGAGCACGGGCTGCATCTAGCTCTGCCTGCGGGATCGCCTCCCACAGCAGGTTGCTAGTCAGCTTTGCTGTAGCACCCCAGATCAGCGACTTCACCTTAATCAACGCGGCGTATTTGGCCGACGAGTAGTGAAATGCCATTGCCCCCACCTCAGGTTGCTCACTCTCGGCTTGCCAGTCGCCCAGGGCTGCCATTTCTTCAGGCCTGCAGTCTAAAAGTTGGGCAACCGTTGGTGCTAACCTTCTCCAGCTGTAGGTGGTCAGGTCTTCTGGATTGTCGAGGAACACGGACATTTCCTGCTGCATTGTTTCTTGCACTTCGAGGATCGTCCAAGGACGCCCTTCGTCCGAAAAACAAAGGCCTGCAAGTCTTTGCCTCGCCGGTGCCAGCGTCCTGTAAGCCTCCAGCACTTCTTTGGCCCAAAAGAAGCCATTGGCAAAGGTGGCCGGCGCTGCAAAGTCGAATCCTTCACGAGCATGCTTTTGTTTTCCTTTAGGGCACCTGCAATGGAGGAATGCAGCCGTGAGGCGTCGAGGTTCTGACCGTGCTATGTGCGCATACCTCAAACAGCCAAACGACATGATCCAAGGGGCCAGGAGAACTGACCACCTCTCATCGCCGACCGCGTGCAACTCCACGATGCGGTCCTCTAAGGCTTGCACCAACGGCGGCTCCACCACAGGTGCTTGCCCACGCTGCCCAGTCGCCCTGGGTGTTGTGGGTAGTTGGAAATTTCCCAGCTCTAGGTCTTGGTCGGCATTCTTGTTCGGCTTGGAGTGCACGTGCTGGGGCCGATGTGTGGTTCAGGAACTGATCCAAGTCGACCATTCCAGGAGGAGCGGGTCGCCCCCGACTCTCCAAGAAGGCTCTCAGCTCCAACCATGTGTTGACCACTCGGTCAATGGTCGCTTTCTCGGCGTCCTTCACCTTCTTTTCGGCAATCCTCTTGCACGTTTGCTTCCATTCGGCCTTGAGGGTGTCTGTCAAGATGCCAGCTGGTTTGTATGCGCCCATGCCCACAAACATCGACACCAAGCCGTTCACCCTCTTCTGGACGGCTTCACCCAGGTTCTTGTCGACGTTGACGGCTTTGGGCTTCTTTTTGTATATCGTCTTGCGCACAGGGCGCAGAGTGACGGAACCCTTGGGGTTGTCCTCCACGACTTTGGCCCCCGCTGCAAGGAGTTCTTCCTCCACCCTTGCTCGCGTCTGCAGCCAGTCATCTGCTACGTGGTGACCGGCTAGTCCAACGACTTGATCGTAGTCTGTGTAGGCATAGGCGAAGTCGTTGTCGTCCAGGAGGCCTTCATTCTCCCTCCATTGACGCGCCCGTTGTGCAGCTATCATCATCAACGAGTCGGCCGCTCTCCATCCTGGTGCAGGGTCACCCCCTGACGAAGATGAGGCTGCCGCCTGAGCTGCGTAGTAGCCCTTGCCGCCTGATGCCATGGCACTGCACCCTAACAAAATTGCTAAGGTGCGGAGAGCAAAAAGATGCTGCGGTGACTTCAGAGGTGCCTCCTCTGTCATAAAATCAACCTTCAGCAAACATCTTCTTACGTCCTCCACAAGTGCTGCATGGCTCACGCCAAGTAAAGCAGGCACTACACATCCCGACGCAGCATGCCCAGCACACGCGCCTTGTAGGGTCCACGCACTCTGTGCAGGCCGTGCCAAGTTGCAGCACACCCGCATCCTGGCTCTCCAGCCACCCACATAGCGCTCGATGAGCTCTGGCGCCCTCTCTCCCCCATGCTGGCCAGGGTTGTTTTTTGGGAGAGTTTTGGGGAAGTGGCGCGGGTCGATGAAGGTCGGCAGGAGCTCATGCGGGCCCATACACCTGAGCCAACTCCTCCATTGATCGAACATCTCTCCCAGGCCCAGTTGCCCAGCGCTATAGAGGTCTTGGGGCACGATGTCGGCTGCCGCCTTAGGTTTCGTGTAAGCAGCGACCAGCAGTAGGTCCATTGGGTCCTGGTGCTGGTAGTAGTACGCCCAAGCATCCGCAGGCGCCACATCGTCCGGCAGCACAACTCCCATTCCACAGTCCGAGCCACGGGAACATGAGCTGCGCAGCGCTGGCAGTCATCAATGCAACAGGGCAGCTTTGGCAGGGGGGGAACAACTCAGAGTCCGTCCCAGTCGTGATGACGTAGGGGGAGTGCAACACTTCAATCCCATGCATCCAGCATGTGTATGCTGCCAAGTCAGAGCCCTCCCGTGCCAGCCTTTCCACGTGGCCCTTGAACTCCAGGAAAGCAGCCGCATGTAGGATCTTCGCCTCGGTGGCTGCCGGGATATCGATCCCTGGGAGTTTGCGCTGCATACAAGGTCACTCCTTGTGTCGAGTTTGAACCAATCAATCAAGGTCTGGGAAGGTCACCCCTTACCAAGACCAAGAAAGAAAAAGCAATGAATGCTATTTTGGTTCAAGTTTACTTGAGCCAAAATGATAGCATTCATTGAAGCACTTAAAGATGATACATGCACACCCAAGCCTGCCAAACTCAATGCATGGGTATACGTGCAAATATCATGGTCTCCCCCCTTTCAGCGCATGAACACAAACACACAGATGAACTTCTTAGCCGAATACGTTTTGCCAATGAAGTTTATGTCAAGAAACTCGGCATCTCTTCAGGCCGAAGAGTTGGCACCGCTCCAACAGAATCAGTCGTTGAATCCATGGTGTCTGCGCCCATGGCATTCCAGAGATCTCAGTGCATACTGCTTGATTAGCTTGATCTCTGATCTTGATCTGCTTGGGGTTTGCTGCGATGAGAATTGGCGATGGCTCAAGGCGTTGCTTCAACCTTCAGAGCTACATTGTGAAGTAAATCTACATGACTCCATGAAGGGATACACGTTTGCCAGTGTATCGGTATGCTTACGGGCAGTAGCAGTGTTGAGCTAGGCCAAAGTGGGCTCAGACCGCAAGAATAAGAAGAAACACTGGCTTCCTGCACATGCCAACCATATTTCAAAGCAAATGTCCATGCATTGCTCCATGCTAGCTGCTAGCTACTGGATGCTGGATGCTAGCTTCTAGTTGGCAGGGACAAACTTTGCTGCTCACCAATGTGTCAGAAGCTCCTCAATCCTTTCCTCCATGTCACCATACTGTGCACGAGCCATTTGGACGGACTTGCGGCGCCGATGCTTCACCAACAGAGTCCGAGACAATCACGGACATCACACATTTGATAAAGCGTGCACCAAAAAAACAGCAAGATGCACCAAGTATATCCACTGCTTCGAAAGGTCATGCCATGTCCTGTCCATTGCAATCAATTGTGTGAATGAGGCTTACCAATCCTTACCTGCCTTTACCATGCCTTATCTATGAATATCATGGAAATTCATGGAATATCTATGATCTGAGCATATCTTAGCTATCTGAGCATATCTTAGCTATCTGAGCATATCTGAGCTATGGGCCTGTCTGCTTTCATCGCCTGAGATTTGCCAAAGCAATGCGATCCAACGCGTCACCAAAGGCAGGCCGCGACCTCCAAGAGCTGGAAAGCCGTGAGCCAATGCCCAGCACCAATTGCAGCCCCATAGCCTGAGGCCAGTGCGCTACAGGCCCTACAGGCCCTACAGGCCCTACACATTCTGTGGATTTATATGGATTTAAAATTATTTATGATATTTAATATAATTTATATGGATGGGCCACAATGGAGCGCATGGCATCTGAGTTTGGAGCAAAGCACGCTTGGTTGAATCCTTTGCAGCCTTGAGCCGGCACAAGCTGGCGTGCAGCAGGTGGAAGTGGTGGAAGGTGAGGAGAATGCCAGAAAAGGGAAAACAAAACATGCAACATACATCAACATACGGTTTCAATCAATTTTGATAATTTTCGGATATCCGTGAGCCAACTTCCATGTCATGTACATGACGTGTGGACTGTGGCCGGGATAAGGCCATAACAAGCATCGCAACCCTTGGGAATCCAGGGGAACCCTTGGGGCACAAACTTCATCGCCTCAAGCAATGCAACAGCTTGCCTCAGTCTTGACTTATGGATGGGCAAATAATTGTCGGACAGCCCGGACAGCTTCCACGATGTCCAGATCTGCTTCTAGATTCTAGTATATTCTAGTCGTATCTAGTCGTGCCATGCCTAAGGCTCCTACTTCCATTCCAACGCCCGCTCACATGCGCTGATTGCTGACGTGTAGCTTACGGCCTGACATCTTGCCACAGCAGTTGGTACACTCTGTTTGGACACAGATCTTCTGTATTCACCCGTTGTTTCATGTTGTTTCTGCCGCACCGTGAGAACATTTCAGCAGAAAGGCCGTCACCCGTCAACAGCGTTTCAGTGAATTGGTTTGTTTGCGCGCAATTAGCTTGCAAGCAGTCCTTGCTGGTGCAAAGTTCTATGACTATATAAGCTTTCCTAGAATGGCTCAACAGCAAAGCCGGGGGCGCAATCGCCCAGCCATTGGCGGCCAAAGGCAGAAATGACCCTTGTATAGGCAGTGTGTATATATACTACAGTATACTATTAATACATCCTTTTGCGCTGTTGCAAACTGCAGCGTCGTGAATTTGAAAAACAGCCCAAAATTCCGAAGAAACACAACAAGGGCAGGCAGGTGTCTCAGCTGCGCATTAGTTCTGCTTGGTGCTGCTCTGCGATTTCCCTCCGTGCCGGTCGGATAAGGATCTGGACAGTTTGAGGCTCCCACATCTGGAGTTGTTTGCCCCCAAGGCATTTGGGCCTATGCTTTATGCTTCCCGCAAATGTCCAAACGTGAAATGCTGAGCAGGTCTCTGACCGTGACCATAAAGATTGACCCATTACATCCCATGACACTAGCGGGGTCAAGCACTTGATGGAAAATGAACGTTGTGGATCTTTGTGGATCTTTGTGGATCTTTGTGGATCTTTGTGGGACATCATTCAAGGAAACAACCTGTTCTAACCTAGACACCAGAGAGCCTGGAAATTAAAAGCAATGATATGCAATCAATCAAACTCGAACTCGCCGTTTTTGCCTCAATGCAGCCACAAGCGGTCGGTTTAGGCGTTTGGGTGCAGCCAGTGCAATGGGTCTGCAGTCTAAACAGTGACAACTGAACACTTAGTACTTGGTGCCTAGGTATAAACCGATCAGTCGTGATTATGTTCTCTCTTCACCAGCTCAACCAAATCGAGTGAAACAATTCAAAGTTCGACCTTTCCAGTTTCATTCGAAACCTTTCCGGGCATCCCGGAGTAAGTCGTCAAAACAAGGGATGTCAAAATGTCTTCGTCTGCGAAGCACGAATTTCTGGGCCCAAAGGCGAAGTGTGGAAAATCCCCGACACGGCAATCCTGACCTACGGATGCCTGCCAGAAAGAAGGCCTTTGGCACGTCGGACTCTTCAGCAATATTGTAGGCAACAATCTAACATGTATACAGTATATACATGTATATACGTATATACTTGTGTGATATTGAGTGAACATGCATCCCAGGAAACACTAGTCACTAGTCTTGAATCGTCTTGATAATAATGTCTTAATATATTAATATAACCTCCTGTTGCAGTTCGGACTCACAGAACTGCAGGGGGTAAACCTCCAAGGCTGTGACCATCCACAAGCCAAATGCCTTCTGCATGTGTGGCCTTTGGCCAACAGCCTCGGCCAACACAAGTTTTTCAGCAAATGGTAGCAAGCTGCCAGGCGCCATTGGCGTCCTCCCACAAGTTGTCCTGCGTTCATCGTTCCATGCAGCAAAAGACAAGTCCCTTATGGTTCCTTTTGCTCGGCAATATTTAGCTGGCCTCTTCCTTGATTGATGTCGCTGCCTGTTCTGGGTGCTACATAGATCACTCCCGTTCACCCGACTACATTCTGACATCTGGATACATCTGGTGTATCTGTAGCCCATGGGTGCAAACAAGCCACTGATTCAGCATCAAATTGTACACGTGCGGTTGGTTCAATATGTTGTGACATCTCAGTCAAGCTAGATTTGATGTAAACAATGATCCTGCATCATCATATGCTTTCAAGTCTATTCACATGCTGAGTGGACAGGTACATGCATGCCTGAATGCATGTATAGTAATGGACATACACTTAGACCACAAATTGTTTTCCAATTGTTTTTCCTACACTTAGAACGCGTTTTATCACGTTCCATCTCTGTTCTAAGTGTTGGCTTAGAACAGCAGCCGACACGTGTTAGAACACATCTTATAGCAACACACATTTTCCAACATGTGTTCTAAGTGTATGTCCGTATTTATATTGTAATCAATAAAGTAAATGGTGGTTTATGGGAAATGATGGGGTATAATATAGCTATGCCCCCAAAAGAGTTTTCTTATTGGGTAGGCCTCTATTTGGGACACAAATGGTTGGTAAATGAGATGGTTCACTATTGGGTTTACCACATTAATCATCGGTATACATAGATAATAAATAATTAATTACTTATAATATAAATATATATATATATGTAATATAATATATATGTATGTAGAATATATCTATATATATATATCCATTAATCTGCACTGAAGGCTGTGCAGATCCTTGCATGGACATACACTTAGAACACCATTTGGAATTGTGTTGCGTTCTAAGTGCCAGTTAGAACACGTGTTCTAAGTGTATGTCCTTAAACATACACTTAGAATCAACAGCTTACCTGCGTCGTGTTGGAACTAGCGTTTTCCAAATGGTGTTCTAAGTCTATGCCCTTAACTATAAATCAATAGGATGATTAAGATGTCGTCAGCATCAAGGACAGGATATCCAGGTTTTTTCTTGACATTCCTCAAGCGTGGCACCTGTCCCATTCTCCTGTCGCAGTTCCTGTCGTTGTTCGTCGTCTCACCCGGCTGAAATGGAGGAAACGGCTGCTGCTGCTGAAGCCGTAGTGGACTGAGCGGGAGTGACATTGAGCAGGATACCAGGTTGACTCCATGGTACACGTTAACCCGTGTCACTGACACATGTCTTTGCTCGTATATATTATTTGGGTATGGCTCCAAAAAAATCAAAAAAACAGGTATGGATCGTTCCGCAGTGATCCCGACGTGTGGAAGGAATGAGTTACGCATAGGAGGTTTGATTCGGACCTACTGCGAAGGTCGGTATACAAAATTGGCCGGGTATAAGTACAATTTGTCATTCTTGGATCTGGATCAAGAGTATGGATCCGGGCTACGGATCGCATGTGGGTCCAGTATCGGGGCCTTACATGGATTGAGCTCTGTCCTACGAATCCCTCTTGTGTTCTGCGGTTCAACTTTTGATCTCTGCAGCCAGGGAACGATGTGATGGTGTTGCAAGGCTTTTTGTGCCATGGGCGGGTTCCTCTTTCGCGATTGGCACTTCCACACCTTCAGGTGTGACCGCATCAACTCCAAGTGAGGCAACATAGGAAATTTCCTCATTCCACTAACTAATGTCATTGAGTTCATTGAGTTCAAATTTATTGCAATTCTAGTTTCAATTCCGATTCTAGGTTCAATTCCGATCCAACTTTGGGCTTGCTGCAAAGGGCATGAACAACTGATGCTGCACCATCCACAAATCGGACGGATGTCCAGGGTCAAAATTTGCCTCCTCCTCCTTGGTCGCTATCGCTATGAACTTGTCCTGGCAGTGCGGCTGAATACAGTGCATGGAAATGGTCAGACCTGCAACAAATAGAGATGGGATATGACCGCACGACATCTACAAATCCCAACAAACATACTCTTGAAATCTCTTGAATATTCTTGAATAACCTCCAATAATGACATGCGCACACACACACACATCACACACACACACAAGATAGCGAGGTGGCATGGAACCGGTTCATGGAACCTAGATTTCAGGACAAATGTTTGTCCTGAAAATGTCCTGAGAACACTTCCAGATTTTGTGTTCAGGCATTCCATAATTCAGAAGGTCGGATGCGCCAATGCAGCACGCATGTATTCACATGCTGCTCTCTCACTTATTTGCGTTCAGTTTATCGAAATCTAGATTCTAGATTCTAGATTTATTCAACAATGAGATCAAGTGGGGTGCTTTTGGATTCAAGTGCTTTCACAAGTGTAACAACGACAATATTTATATACCGTTTCTACATGTTTCTACAATCTCACCCCACCGAAACGATCTCGAAATCTTTGCTTCCCTGTCAAGATAGATCCTACCCCTTCATACCACCAACCGACCAACCCTAAACCTCAAGGCCCTCAAGGTCTTTCGGCACTGATTCCACAAAGATCATCTATGACTATGTCATACTACGTCTATCTCTAAGTACGGGGGGTGTTTAACAAAAATGAACAGTCACGCAACGCACACAAACAAGAGAAAACATGCATAAATAGTTTCGAATCCTCCTGAAACTAGATGAGCAATGTGCAAGCAAATGTCATGCAGCGAACTGATTGAAATACAGCACACCAACATACGTCAACCATTCTCGACCTGGTACTGTAATAACTTCAAGCCAATGGCGGGCTGTCCTTGTTGATACAGAGCATGTCGCACGCTGTGTACGCAGTCACTGTGAAAGGGGACCTGTTTGGATGACAGCTCCAGTTCTCTCCCTCTTTCTCTCCGGCAGTTGCGTGCAAAGAGCAGAACAGCAAAGCCTCTTGAGCTTCAAGGAAAGGAAAAGCGTTGGGATGCAGCGAGCTCAAGGAAAGTTCTGTTTGTTTGTGCAGGTTTGCGCAGTTGAACTGCGTCCAAAGGACTCCATTGGCTCTGCGCTCCAAAGGGTATCCTCATCTATTGCGTCGAAGGATTCATCACCAAGGATCATCACCTTAGCGAAGCAGAGATTGTGAAACAAAAGAGATCAAAAGAGCCAAACTTATCCAAAAACTTCAAAATCCCAAGGTTCAATGCATTGGGATCTCTCTGCTACAGGTTGCTGCCAAAGCGCTTCACCAAAGGCATCCAAGGCTTGAAGTCTTCCAGCGCACAAGATCCATGCACATTTGGCTTCCTGGCCCAGAATGGCTTATGGATGGTGCCCCAGACTCACCATGGAACACTAAAGTCGCTAAATTCGCTAAATGATGTCTAGCAATGGGGCAAAGTCTGAGAGCCGGCACACAAAAGGACGAAGTGAGAAAGAAAACGGAACCCCGCATGCTTGGTCCAGGAAAAAAGAATCTGAGTTCTGAGAGATTCTTTCAAGAAGTGATTCCCTAAATGAAACGTGGCACTATGTGGCCGTACTTGCACAGGAGCACACATCACAGGCATGTTGCAAAAGACGCATTGTGAAACAAAATCTGGCCTCTCCCATTGTGCAGGCCTCGGATTCATTTTGAAGTCCGCGCACGCAAAAAACACTGCTGCATCTGCACTCCAACATTTAGGGCAGCAATGCCCTGCTAAGCATTTGGTAGCACAGTAAGGATACAGTAAGGACATGAAGTTGCTCGAAAGTTGAGGCAAGAAGATTCGCTGAAGACGAAATGTGGACTAACATGGACTAATTACATGCCAAACGGAAGAGTCATGGTGTCGGTATCTACCAGTGCTACCAGTGCCGTCACAGGGACCAATAAATGCCATGGTTTGATCTGCTTCAATGATTCCTGGAGGGGTAAAGGGCGCTCTTTTTGCCTGTGCCGTCAAGTTGCCACGTCTCCCGGACACATGACGAAGAAGCTCACGCATTCGTTCTTCTTGTTGCAAATCTCTGCCAACTGAGACTTGCTCAGCTCTGAGACACCTGGCAACCTGCCAGTTGAGTTTCCAAATGGGTGTGCTGCATGGTGATTTGCCACGTCATAAGTACATCAAATGTTGACTAAAACGCGCACACACACACACACATACACATTGGGTGGGTGGGTGGGTGGGTGGGGGTAGTTCACTGTCACGGACAGTCATGGCCCTCTGAACCCTCTGAGCCTAAACAAGTGCTGCTGTATCTTGGCTCGCTCCACCTGCCCAAACAAAAAGTTTGGAACCGATTGAAGAAACTCCCTATGTGGAACATCTCCCATAAAATGCCTAGTGGATGAAAAAAATATATAAAAATAAATATAAATAAGCATAAATATATATATATATATAATCAATATATATATATATGTGTGTGTGTGAATAAATTATATATATATATATTCAAATATCTAAGCAGAACGTGGCACTATGGCACCTCTTCCTGAAGCTCATCTGGCAGCCTTGTCATGGCATCGCTTCAGACCATGTCAGATGGAAAAAGATTCATCACAGCATGTCACAGTAGTGGTGGCATCCGTGTGCAAACTCCTGAACACTAGGACTAGATAGGACTAGGGGCAGACATGCTGGTTATTGAAAAAAATTGCACTATGGAGGCAGAGAAACCAAACAGGACATGGAACATCACAGAAGGAACGCCATTAAACGCGTTTAAATATGTTTAAATACATGTGTAATTACGTCGTTTGGAGCCATTGACCCGACTCGCCAGAAGTTCCTTTGTTGCAAGAGGGCGTTCTCTATTCAGTGGTTCATTCGACTTTGCCACCAGTTTGCAGTGAATCAGAAGGGTCTTGCCCATTCTTTGGGTGGACTTTCTATGTCTGTTTGGGGGCACGGTCACTACATGAAGAGACAGGAACTGGCTCAGTGCTGTAAGGTCGTCGAGCTACTCTGACAGGAGGCGGGACTCCTTTGCCATGATCTTGCGCCTCTCAAACCTCGGCATCAAGATCTGACTCCAAAGCCAGGCCTGATGTGAAATAGCTTGAACATGTGATAACATGTGATAAAAGTTATTGAAAGGTGTTGTGCCACTGCCTGTAGCAGCACTCGACTTTAAGGAGCAGAAGAATGTGCAAACCAAGTGGCAGCAAGTTCAGACAGTCGCGAATGCGACGCCTGTACATGAAGTTGCTTGCTAAAAGACCACTGTAGCCGCTGAATCTGTTCAAACTCCACTTCAGTTGTGCATTCCTTCACGGCAACATTGTATATCAATCCCAAAGTGTTTGACAGGGTTGAAGATGTGCTAACAATCTGTAGCTAGAATAAGCCTTCTGGCATGTTCGGTGGCTATAATATGCTATAATAATAAATGCCGAGCTGAGCACGGGTGGGGAAACCAACTGTACAATGCTGAGGTTTCTCCTGCACATCCATGGAAAGTCAATTCTCTAAATGCCAGGCGCGGTCAGGCCATAGCCAACATAATCAACATACAAAGACAAGTTCCAACCTGCGCTTTCCATAGTGGAAATTATGTTGGATTGTTTTCTCGCATGTTGTTGTCGCCACTGCGTATCAGACGTGGCCGATCCCTGCATTTTTGTAATTACTCTAAAATGATCTGCGCTAAAACAAGTTGGAAAGCAAACTTTTTATTTAGAGACTTTAACATCTTTAAAGAAGAAAACAGTGAGTGGGACTGATTTGGCTTCAAAATCAATAATGTAAGATTTAAGCTGTACATTTTAGATCATTTAGATCCTTTTTGTTGCTCCATTTCTCTGGTCATGACAATGGTGATTTTAAAAGTCTGAGTCGTGCTTTTGTCTGACCAAGCTTATACCGAAAACCGGCCCGCTCTAGAATGATCAAAGCAGATCTGGCTGCTTCAAGGGGGGTTCCAAGAATCACCCCTACCAGTAGAGTGCAATCACATTGAATCTCAGCTTTGTAGTTGCTCTCGGTATGGATTCTTTGAACTTGGGTGAAATTTGACCTATTTTACAACAAGAGCCGAACCTTGTAGAGTTGGATACATTGGATTGTAATCACCAAAACTGGTCGTGCGCATTACATTTTATAGTAACACACGGGTGCACACACATTTTGCAGAGCCTACTGGGTCCCCCTCCAGAAGAGCCCCAAAAAGTTCATGTTTTTTGTTTTGATGGAGAGACCTTCACGAGGAAAAATGTGAGACAGATTTGGTGTCTAAATCAATGGTTTGCATTTTAAGTTTGGGATCCTTTCTGTTGCTCCATTACGCTGGTCATGACAATCGTGGTGGTAGAATGTCTGCCCTGAAAGGTTGATTAGTGGAAATCGCAAGGTTACGCAAGTTTTGTGGTCGGCTGGTTTGAACTCAACACACACACACATATATATATATATACTTGTTGAAAAAAGTGTTTGTATGTCTGGTGCAACGTATTTCTGTTGCTTTGAGCGGACCTTTTGATCTTTACTCCTTTTTTCTGGGTAGCTAGGGAATTTCAGTATCTCTAAGTGTTCCGGGGTTTCCACTTAAACAGCCACTAAATCCAAAGGAGAGGATCTAGACAACCAAGATCCACTCATGACTGGTGTGCAATCCTTGATGCATCATGTCACTGTCACCAACAAGTGGCCCAGAGCAGCACAACTCATTCCGGATTTGTTCCGCGTTTTTTTCCGCCAATGTCCACGTTTTGACAGGAATTTCAGGGAATTTCCGCATTTGCTGTTGGGGTGCCCTTATCTAATTCATCCAGAAACGCGATTGCAAAGTCATGCCACAGGTTGCAACAAAAGCCTACAGTGGCCTACAGCCACCCAATCAACTCCAAAGACAGGACTTTGGAAGTTCACTGGGCTCACGGCAGCGGAAACGACCAAAAAAAGCAAACAAAGCCCATCGAGATTCGAAATGTGACAAATATCAAACCACGCACAACCACGCATTTGTTTTCGAAAATGCACAAAAAAATACACCTGACTGAGAAATTGTTTTTTTTCCTGAAGAAAGCACATGCTTATAATGCCTTCTGCCTGCGAGTATCGAATTCATTCAAGTTCTGCTAGGTTTGCGTCCCTTTTGCCCAATGGGAGTTCCTTAAAATGGGGACCCCGAGACCAACCGTTTTCGTATTTGAAATCAACAAAGAATGAAACGCTCTGCACGGCAGATGAAATAATGATAATAATAATATATTATCATATATACCAAATGCTTGCGGGGAATTTGCACTAATATCAACATGGTAGTGTAGTGGAAAATGTCTATACAATGTTTTAGCCAGTCAACATACTGTAAGGCGACTATAAAATGCCGAGCACTTGGTCCTCCTGTGTATGTTTTTGGTGTTACCACAGAATTGTTTCACGGGGTTTCTCTATAACATCCCCAGCATGACTACACTTTCCTAATCTAATATAGTTTAATTATATAATATTATATATTGAAACGGCTAGGAAATTCAATTTCATACCAAGCACAAGTTCACTGTAGTGGAAATTCAAACAGGGATCGGACATGTATCACTGTTTTTCACATGTTTGATCCCTGAGGTATGCAGATCTGCCGCTGCCTGTTTTGAGGATCCATCTTCAATCTCTTCAAGAGCATGCGTACCTTAGATTTTTTGCGAGAGGGCCACCCATCAACTTTCAAGACAAACACATACATAGATGCAATGCAGATATATAATGCACTGCACACTGACTTGTTGGCTTTGCCTTCAGCCAATTCATTGTGTTTTAATTGGTTCATGGGGAAAATTGAGGAAGACCATGGACCCATGATCGTGGTTAAAAACAAGGTTTCCATGATTTCCATGTGGGTTCGACCGATTTCAACCGTGCATTTTTTCCATCAACCAATCCATTGGTAGGACAACAAGGCAAATTCTCAGCCAAAAGTGCAGCGAAGAGTTCGTCCGTGAAGCTGCGGCTACGCTCTGAGATCTTGAAGTAGGCTTGGGTCAAAGATGCAACCTCGAGAGATCTCGAGAGACATGACCGAATATGATAGAATATGTCTACCTGCTCAATGATACTCTACCGGTTGATATAGGTACACGGCATGCAACGGTGTTGAAATCATGAGATTACAGTGAAAAAAAATAAAGGACACCCTGACACCCGCATCCTAACGGGGATGAACAGCTGTAAATAAAAGGGTTGAAGCATGTTGAAGCTCAAAACAAGTGCTTTGTACCAACAATTGGCTGCTTTGAAGGACCCAACCTCCAACATCTGCAAAATCGTTCAGCATGTTGAAGCTCAAAACAAGTGCTTTGTACCAACAATTGGCTGCTTTGAAGGACCCAACCTCCAACATCTGCAAAATCGTTCCACTCGCTGCTCCATGATCTGGATATATCTGGATGTTCTACGATTTTCTAACTGCTTCACAGTTTGCCTCAGAATTATGTGTAATTATATCGCGTATGATATGCATCATCTGGCAGCGACTAGAAGTCATCCCGCAAACAAAAATAACATGAAAAAACAATAAAGAAGACCGCAAAGGGGTGTGCAAATTATTTAAGTTCATTTGAATTCAGTCTCTGCGCTCCCAACCCCTGATCTCCAATTCTCATGTTCATCATGTTCAGCCCTATCAATCTTTTTGCTCTCTTCTCTTTATTGGGATTGAAATGGATTGAACATATTCTTGGTCTTAAAAGGCACGATCTGGCCAAGTCTGCAGCGTAGGGATGTGCTCAAGTTTTCGGGGGCACAAGCATACCCCCTGCGACCCAGGGCCCTCATTGCAAGAAGGTTAAGACCTTTGAAAAGGAAAAACATGGAATTGCATGGAATTGCAGCATATTGCAGCCAAAATTTGCCAAAATGCTTTATGGTGTTACTTTGTTGAGGGCTCTTCTTCAGCCCCTTCATGTGATTTTGCTGCACCAGTCAATTATCATCCCATGCAAACTCACACCCTATCACAAATCCTATCAAAGTAGCCGAGATGGCGAAGGCAGAAAGGGCAAAGAACCTAAGTTGCTGCAACGGCAACCAAGCCGAAGCATGGATTCGGAGGTCTCAAAATCATGTGGCAAATGCAGCAATAAACCAAGCAAATTCTAACAAAACAATATATATATATGTGTGTGATATATATATATATTTATATTTATATACATACATACATACATACATACATACATACATACATATATATATTAATATATAAAAACAATGAAACACACGACGTATATAAACCATCCCAAATATTGGGAGCTTGTGATATGTCATGATGATATTGATGATTGGGTGTACCAGTTTGGCAATGTTTGCCACATTTAAAGATCCTGCAACATCCAGCGGCTAAGCTCCGTAGCTGAGTGGCATAAAGAACAGCACAAACATTCGCTCTGCCAAGTTGACCTTTTTTGCACACAAAATTGGGACGGTGCAAAAACGAAACCACCTTCTGATACTGATCATGAATCAAATACCCAAATAATACCAAATATATAATATAATATAATGCTAATTAATGCTAGCTCAGAAGAAATGTGCAGTGAAGCTTGAACATACTCGAAACAATTCAATTCCACAATTCCATGCGGGTGTGAAAGGTGAGAAAACCAAGCAATGCAAGAAAGTTGCTGGGGTCACTTCAGCTGGCATGGTCCTGCACGAGAGGCATCACTGTCCAAGGCATCATTATCTCTTTTGATGTGGCAATGGATTGATTCCATCTGGACATTTCCTTTGGGCACTGCGAACACCAATAGGAGAAAGTCAGCTTTGGCCTCATAACTCCCAAAGTCCAGTAGAAGCAGAAAATGTACCTGAGGCAAAGTGGATATACTGTTCTTGGAGCTCTAGCCAACTCTAGCATGCTCGAACTCATGTTTGAAATGATTAACTCTGAAGCCAAGGAACGACTCTGATGTTGGTCTATCAATCCACCGCCAGGTGCTTTGGTTTGGGCCTTGACTCCTCGAAAAGATCAAAGAATTTGGAAATCAAAGCTTTTACGCCTGTGACGATCAACTGGCTGAAAAGGCGGCCAATACCACCCGAAAAATATTAGGGGAATAGGATGGAATAAGAACGAATATAGAATAGAGAGTGTGTTGAAAGTGTGAAAATTTAGTCGACATTGCAGTGGAAGTAGGGAGTCCTGCTGATTGTGGTCCAGTGTGGCACTTGCAAAAATTCCTGAAGGGAAGGGGTTCAGGTTGCAAGGACTGAGCGGCTGAGTTCCACAGATCTGCAACTGGAAACAAGCATGTGTTTCTTTCAATTAATATCAATTAATGATGGCAGAAGCCTCATAGGTCTTTTCAGGCATGAGGTCTGTGATCAGGCTTTCCTTAGCCAATGACAGGTCCATACAGGTCCATCATTTGGACCACAACGGGGAGAACATGAAAGTCTCAAAATGTCTCAAATAAACGGGCCTTGTCTCATCGAATATGGAGGCACAACCATGAACTAGGCCTTCCATCGAACAAAGATCACAAGGGCCTACAGTGCCCCATCCAAGTGACTGGATTGCCAACCATCCAAAAGATGCACGCATTCCAATGACCTTAATGAGGTGTTCACTGCGCACCAGGAAAGCTTAATTAGGCATGATGGATTAATACCAGTACTATGGCAAAACCATGCCAAAACATTACAAGATATGGGGAAATACCACATGCCTATCATTTAATTACATTCATTTACATTCATTTAATGCATACCACCCCATGAGTGCAGACATGTACAGACAACAGGCCAGGAACATCCTTGAACAGGCCCATGAAGCTATAAGGCGCCGACAAATCGCAATGACGATAAGCAGAATGCGAACCAACATCATGGACCTGATGTGTGTTGTTGTGCCTGTTGTGCATTGTGTTGCGCGGTTTCGCATTCTTTACGACTTTACGGATCGTAGTCGAATGTTGTAAGCTCACGCTCATTCACAGTCTCAGGGTTAGCTGGTTGGCGAGAATCAAGCTATTGTCAAGCTTTCAGGCCACCGTCTGCAGACAAGAAGCTGGACAAGCAACACTGACCCGATCTCATCCTCCACCCTCTCCCACAGCTTTCCTTTGAAGTGCAATCAAGTGAATTGGCCGTAAGAATTGTCTGCGTTTCATAGTGGTGCTGCTAGCAGTGCCAGCACCGACAGCAGACATGAAATGGAGCTCTGAAGCTTGACAAGGAACGCAGCTTTGCCATGCGTAGCCTGGGTAGAACTGGCATGAAACCTATCCTCTGGTAAAGTTCCTCATATTCTTGCATGAGCACATGACGTTGAAAATGAACAAGGAATAACTACAAGGAAAATCAAGGAAAGGCTTTCTGTAGACAGGCCAGTTTCCAACGTATGAACTACAGTTTTAAAAAAAAACAGCACGGCCATTCGAAGAGCAACTAGCATCGCGGCAACTATCAGCAGGCACACACGTGAGAATAATTAGGTGCCAGGTTCTTTGTGTGCTCTACGGTGCAGGGGTTGAAATTCCCTGCCCAATGATCTCCAGATAATTCCAGATATCTCCAGTGCTTCGACCCAGAGGAAGCACAGAGAGATGGGAGGAGGATACAGTACAACAGGATACACCCACAACCGGCGCTCCTAAACCAGACCAAGGCACATCCGCATGAGCCGCATGAGCCGCAAGAATTTCACCACCTGACAAGGTCAAACCTGGTCTCAGCCTGGTCTCTGTCTCAAACGAAAGTGGAACGTGAATCACACAGCGGAAGCTTAGACGATTCTGCAGCATGCCTCGGAGAAGGATCCCATTCCAAAGTTACAACTAGGGTAACTAGGGGGTAAGGACACGACAGGAAATGTAAGGAATCCCCATGGCCCAAGGAACCGGCTGAGAATATTACATAGACATGTACAACTGTATAACTAATAAATAAACTGTATGAACTCAACTGCAAGACAAACCATTGAGTTTGAGAATATTGACTGACATCTATCGAGATGGCCTGCGAAAATAGAATAAACATGAATATAATCATAGAATATCATAGAATAAACTAAACACAAATAACATAGATATACCCTCTGGTAATTTAACATAGCTATGGAAAATCACCATTTTTAATGGGAAAATCCACTATTTTTAATGGGAAAATAGTGGATTTTCCCATTTAAAATGACCATTTTCAATAGCTATGTGAGCACCTGCCTTCAACAGCTTGGCTGCTTGAGTTGAGCCACCTGCACAACCAGTGGCTAAAGTGTCAAAAATGTCCAAGCGATTCCAACCAGAAACATCCCCAAGCTATCCCAACCTTCACTAAGCAGATCTAAGATCATCTAAGATCATCTACTCCCCCTCCTTTTACCGTAGCGCAAAAAAAAATAAAATTGATTATTTTCCACGTTAACGAAATGGACGATTCGGAGGTTTACTTCCATGTTAGTTGCATTGGGGGGGGGTAAACTGCAAATTTGTGTTCTTTGGATCTGAGCCCTTTTTTTTTGGCTAGTTCTTTTTGCCACGAGTTCCCCGGGAATCCTGGGCATTTTTTGATTAACGTAGAAATTTTGAATTTTTCAAGATAAAGTTGGGAATGCCTTCATTTTTTACCAACCAACGATTGGAACAGATAACTTACATAGAAATTTGCTACTTGAAGTAGGATGTGGGCAGTGCCATGTTAGCGAGCGCTCGGTCCTTTACTCCCCCTCCTTTTACCGTAGTGTTTTTTTTAAAAATTCCACGTTAACTAAAGTGACAATTCGGAGGTTTACTTCCATGTTAGTTGCATTGGGGGGGGGGTAAACTGCAAATTTGTGTTCTTTGGATCTGAGCCCTTTTTTTTTGGCTAGTTCTTTTTGCCACGAGTTCCCCGGGAATCCTGGGCATTTGTTGATTAACGTAGAAATTTTGATTTTTCAAGATAAAGCTGGGAATGCCTCATTTTTTAACAACCAACGATTGGAACGGATAACTTACATAGAAATTTGCTACTTGAAGTAGGATGTGGGCAGTGCCATGTTAGCGAGCGCTCGGTCCTCCTTTTACCGTAGTGCAAAAAAAATTCCACGTTAACTAAAGTGACAATTCGGAGGTTTACTTCCATGTTAGTTGCATTGGGGGGGGTAAACTGCAAATTTGTGTTCTTTGGATCTGAGCCCTTTTTTTTTGGCTAGTTCTTTTTGCCACGAGTTCCCCGGGAATCCTGGGCATTTGTTGATTAACGTAGAAATTTTGAATCACCAAACATGGAACGGAGTGCCATGTTAAAAAAAACATGCTATTCCTGGTAAAACCTTTGGTTTGGTACTAGGGTTCCCCATACTTCTCAGGAGGATTTCATTTTCCAAAAAGAATGAAAAAACATGAATCCCAAACCAGGTTTTTTATATGATTTTTTTCTTTATTAAACTCTTTATATAAAATGCTCGATTTGTCAACTTTTGGTGTTGAATTCAGGCTTGGACCCTTTGATGGTTGCTTTTAAGATATGGGCGACCAGCAGTTCAAGAGATGAATCACCAAACATGGAACGGAGTGCCATGTTAAAAAATCATGCTATTCATGGTAAAACCTTTGGTTTGGTACTAGGGTTCCCCATACTTCTCAGGAGGATTTCATTTCCCAAAAAGAAGGAAAAGACATGAATCCCAAACCAGGTTTTTCATATGTTTTTTTTCTTTATTAAACTCTTTATGTAAAAAGCCCGATTTGTGAACTTTTGGTGCTGAATCCAGACTTGGACCCTTTGGTGATTGTTTTTAAGATACGGGTGACCAGCATGACGGGGGTGAGAAGATAGATGCAAAGAAGAAAACAAATGATGTGGCGGTCAGTCTGGGGGTTTTAGGGATCGCCCTAGAAGGATGTATTCAACATGAGGGGAGAACATGTTAACATAGAAGTGGTCAACCTGATGTTTGGACCTTCAAGTTACTTCCACGTAAGCGTTTTTAGTCTCAGTTTTCCAACTTCCATGTTGAACATGCTCCTTCAAGCTACTTCCATGTAAGTGATTTACGGTCAGTTTTTTACATTTTCTGGTCCGGTAGCCCAGTTTCACGTTTTCCCCGGGAATTGGACCGATACGACTTCCATGTAAACCGACAGGCTTTTGCGTTTTGACTTCCACGGTAAAATGACAGGGTGTAAATCTGTGCGCCTTTTAAGATCGAAAATCCATCTGTTCAAGCTGAGCCCACCTCCATCGCCCGCTGCAAACATAGAGGCTAAGCGAGGCCACGGCACCTACAACATCAGATTTATATATACAGTATAGATAGATAGATTTATCACAGCTCACATCAGCCACATTGGCTTTGCGATCTCTCAAAACTGTTTCCACAGTTGTGACTTCTCACATCGTCTCACTATGTCTCACTATCATCCTGCAGCAACAGAAACCTTCCAAGAGCAGTAGGCCCCAGGCTGTACTGAAAAAGTCAATGCAAAACCATCCCTTGACCTCAAAATATGCATGCCCGAGATCACTCTGAAATACACATTGACGTACTGAAGTGAATGGAATTGGTGAGGGCGGCTCTGCGTGCTTCTCTCTCACTCCAAATACGGCCGTTTCACTGAAGGACCGCGTGCTGAAGCAATGCAGGCAAGACACATAAGCCAGTGCGATTGCCTTCCTGAGGGTCAATGGCACGGAAGCTGCAGTCCGAATCGAAAAACAGAACACTGCCGCGTTGCCTATTTGGCTGCCCATGGCTGCCCCAAATATGTCAAATGGGTCAGACGTTCATCCCTCACACCGTCCAAGAATGTCACCAGCTCTCCCTTGAATTGAATTGCAAAGAGAACGGCCGGAGCATGTCAATGTTTCATATTTATGCATATTTTGGATATAGATAGATGGATATAGTATGATATATCATGGTGATGTGATCATGAAAGCCAAATGCAATGTCTCTACCGAGCACACATATCATCACATATCCCAGCCGGGGAGCCTGTCTCTCAACAAGGCATCTGGTCGGCTACCGTCATCATCCACTTGAATCGCTGTGTTAAAGCTAATCACGATGTCAAGGCCTAAGCAAATATCATCAAATATCATGATGAAGGCTGCCCGCAAACGGACATGAATTCGAAACGAACGTTTTTGGGATAAGCCCGTTACCGAATAGAATGGTCGTCCACCAAAACCAGAACTCGTCGAAAGCATCGTGATTGTTGTTCCTTAGGTACACATTTCGCATCGCGCACAAGCTCACAACCCCAGTCTTGGCTCCCAGAATATTGATGACATTGTGTGCGTATGCATGGGCTAGGATTGCAAGCTTGCCCGAAGGTGCTGTCGTCTTGCCGTCTGAAAGTCACATCCATCAACGCCAAGGATCTTGAATGCGAGCTGAAAGGGTAGGATGAGCGCATCGAAGAGCACCACAAACATCACCTGAGCGCAATATATAGCGTAATGGCCACCCTCCATCCAAAGACGAGACGGAGACTGTGCTCAGGCCGCAAGGTAAGCAAATGTATGGAAGCTTTCTTTTGTGATTGCCAGGAGGACGACTGACTATTGATCAGTTCCTCATTCTCATTGGCAACTGCAGTTACCTAAACCTAGATTTCAACTAAACGAGGCAGTTCTTTGATTCAAGCCCTTGGATGGAATTCAGTGACATGATCTGCGTGCCAGCATGCACCAGGCATTGGCAAGTCACGAAGAAATCCCACAGAAGCTTCGTGCCCCAGCGTGGATCAATCAGGCAGCCTTGGCACAAGGGCAACCAGAGCGGGACATATTTGGAAGCTGCTGAGTTTCAAAAAACTGACACTAACAATCGATGGCAAACAAGCAGATTGTGACGGAAGTTTGTTCTGGTTTTTGTTTTTTCCCCAGATTCAGCTCAGACACTCTTCCTGTGGTGGTGAAGGTGTCCAGCCTGAAATATTGTGATCTGCAAAAAATGCGAATCTGCAAGGCCCTGTCTTCAATTCAAGATCATGGAATCATTGAGTGAACTTCAGTTGTTCGCCGCGGACACGCATATAAACAAATAATAAACAAATACACATAAACATCAGACATTGCATAAATATATATAAATATGCTGTATAAATGAATATTGAATATTGATGAATATTGCAATTCTATGCATGCCATCTATTGCAACACACACACACTCGTCTGAGTCAATGTATTGCGCCTCTGATGATCTCCTGGGACCTGCAGCTCCGAGAGGTCAATACAGGTAACACATGGTAGCACACTGTTTTTTCCATGACGCATGACAACACGACAGTATACGACAGTGACCAAGAGCCACAATGAGATCAACAGCCAACATATGCCAACATGCTCAACTTCGCGCCTCCACCTCGATTCTTTTCCTGCATGTGTCCTATCAAGCCAAAGTTTGTGGGATGGCACGTCCAACTCACACTGACAGATCTCGTAGAGTCGGATCAGGATCGAATTTGTTTGACAGTGCAGCCAGTTTCGGCCGGGCTTCCCAAAGGTGCCATATAGGTAGGCCCGTTCACAAAAACGTCCAAATAACATCAAAAAACATTTCTATACATTTCTATCATTTCTTTAAGAACGACAACATGTATGTACATGTTGATATGTTAATTGATTACAGCTCAAGCAGTTCCAAGCTGTGCATTCTTGAGGAGGTCAACTGAGCAGTCCTCGCAAGCTCTTTGAGGAAGCCGCCCTGGACACCTTTGTTGGTGTCAGGGCTTTCTCTGCTGCTGGCTCTTGCACTTCCACCGGGACCTGCCGTCCAGCCCAATCCAGGGGACATTCCACCCAACTGATGTTGATTTGTGATCTGATGGTGGGAATTCAAAGCAACCAAAGCAACCAAAGCAACCAATCATCATGGAAAAAGATTTCAAAAGTCCCAGCAAATCCAACAGGTAGGACTCTCTGACTGTATATTGACTGTATTTGACTGTAGTACACGCAACTACTACATCTTCATCTCAACACAAGTCACGGGATGGCTTTTTGGACCTCATTTTCGTCCACCTCTTCTACTTCTGAGGCCATCTCTTCTCCCGGCTTGGTCCAAACTGAGACTTTGGTCTCAGAGTTGTAGTAGTATGTGAGTCCTGCGCAAAGGCACATTCAAAGAGCCCACCCCCTCGGCCCGCACAAGAAACAGTTGTAGCTGAGTCACATGCTCAGTGCACCACTTCAGATTCAGTGGGAAAGTCTTGCATTTCGCTGTCATGAACATGAACTGCTACTTGGACATGCTTCAGTTATGTCGCAGTTTGTCTTCATCAGTCTTCAGTCTTCATCTATAGTTGTTGTTATTGCATGTCCATTTTCCATCTATATCTATCCATCCATCTGTCCGTCCATCCATCCGTCCACCCACCTGTATCTGTGCGTGTGATTGCCTGTGCCCCTGTCATTATACGTCGCTCACCCATCAAAAAAATCCCCGGCCTGTAGCAGGATCGATGTGCTCCGACCATGGCGAATCCGAACGCCGCCCTCGAGCTCGGGTCGATCGCGATCTTGAAAAAGGCCGTGTTGACATTCCAAAGACGCCTGGGCAAACTATCGACCTCAGCCGGACTGCCCTCACTTGGACAATGCAACCGGGGCAACTGAATGCAACCTGTGAATTTCCACAAGGCCACCCATGGGCCTACACAAGGTTCATCAGCCGATAGGGTCGCATCTGCGAGTCTCTCTCTGCCGAATGTGTTACACGGCATTCATTTCTGCACTGGCGGATGCTAGGGCCAGAACATTGGCAAGCATCCGGCATCACCTTAGTGCGTCGACACCCAGTTTTATAAGGACTTATAAAATGAATTGACATGAAGAAAATGATGCAAAACGATACAAAGCAAGCAACAAACACAACAGCAATTGTGCATCTGTTGAGAACCCAATACTCACAAATGTCCGCAGACCAACTCACCCACTCACATAAAGACAAATTGTTTGCAAACAGGAGTCTGTCTTCAGTCTGACGTGGGCTGACACTGCCCACATTCCGTCCTTGGACGGAAGCATGACCTCGGCTCTTTAATTTGAAGCAAAATTACCAAAACATTGTGAAACCTTTGCGCGATAGGCATCCCATGTGCTGTCGCTGCTATAGGCAGGGTAGCCTGGACCAAGTTCTTAGACTCAGAATCAACAAACACCCACAAACAAATTCAAATGCAACTAATATAATATTATGTATGTATATATGTATAGGTATGTATGTATGTATGTTTGATTATGATGTCATATACTTAAGTTATATCATAATCTTCATGTGTGTCTCCAAAATGTGTGTGCGTGATTGTGCGTGTATATGATTGTATATGCGTGCGTTTGTGTATATCCGCCGGCCCCGGCTGATGCAAGGGGGAGCGCGTCAAGGACTACAGGTTTCTGTTTGCGCAACTGCAACTGCAACAACAACAACAACAGCAACAGCAACAGCAACAGCAACAACAACAACAACAACGACCACAACGACGACAACGACGACGCCAACAACAACAACAACAAAAACAACGACAACAACAACAACACCACTCTTGGATCTAGAAGGTACGTTTCAGAAGACACATTACTCTGGGGCGTGAAAGTCAGTGCATATGTGGAACGAAGGTAAAAGCTGCATGGGACGCCGCGCATTCAGGACACGTTTTTGGAATTTTGCTTGTCTTACCGTGACACGTTGGTGTGCTGTCCGGCAGGTGTTTTTTTAGAGCTGTCCGTGAAAAAATTCAATAAATCCAACCATGCCAGCAGCAGTAGCAGCAGCAGCAGCAGCTGAGCACCATGGCCGAAACTGATGGAAAAAATTGAGCTCCACGGCAGAAACTGATAAAACATGTTCTTTCTTCTAAGGTGCCCCGAAGCTGTTCTCAGCACAAGTTTCTACGGATGTCAGAAGACACCTCAGGGAGTTTTTGATGCGATGTCGTGGCTTGTCCGTCCTTCACTGCCATGGTGTTTCAGTGTGGCGGGGTGGTGTTTTCAGCACAAGTTTCTACGGATTTCAGAAGACACGTTAGGGAGTTTTTTGGTGCGATTTCGTGGTTTGTCCGTCCTTCACTGCCATGGTGTCTAAGTGTGGCGGGGATGCTGGCTTCAGCAGAAGAAGTTTCTATGGATTTCTGAAAGGCGCGTTATATTTTTTTTGTGCGATTTCGTGGCTTGTCTGTCCTTCACCGCCATGGTGTTTCAATGTAACAGTGTAGGGGGGCTGTTTCAACAAAAGTTTCCACGGACTTCTGAAGACACGTTAGGGACCTTTTTGCTGCGATTTCGTGGCTTGTCCGTCCTTCACTGCCATTGTGTTTCAGTGTGGCCGCGGGTGTTTTCAGCACTTTCAAAATACACGTTAGGAAGTTTTTTGCTGCGATTTCGTGGCTTGTCCGTTCTTCACTGCCATGGTGTTTCTTTCAGTGTGGCGGGGGGTGTTTTCCGAATTTTCAGAACACACATTACAGAGTTTTTTGGTGCGATTTCGTGGCTTGTCCGTCCTTCACTGCCATGGTGTTTCAGTGTGGCAGGGTGGTGTTTTCAGCACAAGTTTCTGAGGATTTCAGCAGGCATGTTAGGGAGTTTTTTGCTGCGATTTCGCGGCTTGTCCATCCTTCACCGTCATGGCGTTTCAGTGTGGCAGGGTGCTGTTTTAGCACAAGTTTCTACGGATTTCAGAAGACGATTTCGCGGCTCGTCCGTCCTTCACTGCCATTGTGTTTCAGTGTGGCGGGGGGGCTGGTTTCAGCAGCAGAAATTTCTATGGATTTCTGAAAGGCACGTTCTTTTTTTTTTGGTGCGATTTCGTGGCTTGTCTGTGCTTCGCTGCCATGGTGTTTCAATGCAACAGTGTAGCGGGGAGCTGTTTTCAACACAAGTTTCCACGGACTTCTGAAGACTTGTTAGGAAGTTTTTTTGCACTAATGCTTCTACTATTGCTCCTACTATTACTCCTCCTCCCACACAACTACTACTAGTACTCCTAGTATTACTACTACTACTACTACTCCTCCTCCCCCTCCTCCTCCTCCTCCTGCTGCTGCTGCTGCGGCGGCGGCTGCTGCTGCTGCTACTGCTGCGGCGGCGGCTGCTGCTGCTGCTGCGGCTTCTGCTACTTCTGCTACTTCTGCTACTTCTGCTACTTCTGCTACTGCTGCTACTACTACTGCTGCTGCTGCTACTACTACTACTGCTGCTGCTGCTACTACTACTACTACCATTACTACTACTACTACTACCACCACCACTACTACTTCTACCATTACTACTACTACTACCACTACTACTACTACTACTACTACTACCATTACTACTACTACTACGACTACTACGACTACTACTACTACTACTACTCCTACTCCTACTCCTACTCCTACTACTACTACTACTACTAATATTATTGCTACTACTGCTACTACTGCTACTACTGCTACTACTGCTTCTACTGCTACTACTGCTACTACTGCTTCTACTGCTACTACTGCTTCTACTGCTACTACTGCTGCTACTGCTACTACTGCTACTGCCACTGCTACTGCTACTGCTACTGCTACCGCTACTGCTACTGCTACTGCTACTACGACGACAACAACAACGACGACAACAACAACGACGACGACAACTACTCCTACTCCTACTCCTACTCCTACTCCTACTATCTCCTACTACTCCTACTCCTGCTCCTACTACTACTACTACCACGACGACGACGACCACCACCACAACAACAACAACAACGACGACTACGACTACGATTACGACTGATACTACTACACTACTTCTTTGGTGTGTCCCTTTTTCATGTGGTGTTTCGGTGCCCGGAAGCTGTTTTCAGCACACGTTTCTACGGATTTCACAAGACATGTTAGGGAGTTCTTGGGTGCGATGTCGCGACTTGCCCGTCCTTCACTGCCATGGTGCTTCAGTGTGCCGGGGAGGCTCGTTTCAGCAAAGTTGATATGGGATATGGATTGATATGGAAATGGATTCGGTAAATTTTCCGGGGTCGGCGGCAGGGGCTGCAGCATGCGGCAGCCCTTAAATTCGGCTCCGCCGGCTCTCAAGTGGCTTGCCCCACGAGCGTCCCAGAGCGACTAGAGCTCTATGGTGAGGCGCGCCCCAAGCCGCCGACCCTCCGATGCCGGGCCCTGAAAAACACCAAAAATCCTTCACTCTGCTGGGGGAGAGCTTTTGGGACGGAATCCGGGTCGCTCATAAGGGTCTCCAAGAGCATCCCCCCACCGTTTTGAAGGCACCTAAAAACGGAAAAAAATGTTGTTTTGATCGATTTTTCGGACGATGTTTAGCTTTTCGAAATTAACAAAATGCTGTAAATTACAGCATTTTTGCGTTTCAACGTCTGTTGTGGGAGCAATGCAGCTTCGCTGAAAATGCTGTAAATACATGTAAATACCCCTAATTTTTAGAGCAGAGATGCACAACACATTGCAAATACCAGTGTTTTTGAAAGCAAAGCACCCCCAAAAAAAAACACACACACTGTAAATTACAGCATTTTTGGCGGGTTGATCGCAAAAAATGCTGGTGTTTAATGGTATTTACAATGTTTTTGCACTTTCAAGAAAACGTGGCAGGCACGAAACACTGTAAATAGCGGTGTTTTGGCCACTTGTGGACGCTGAAACGCTGGTATTTACACAGTTTTTTGCCCGTGACGGTACCAAACCCATGTAAACTACAACATTTTTTGCACTTTTTGAACCGATTTTTTTAGCCACTTTGGGGGACTAAGACTGTGGTATTTACGCGGGTTCTTGCCATCTGACAACGCAAAATGCTGTAAATTACAGCACTTTGTGCGCTGTTTACGTTCAATTTTTAAACCCGCGATGCTTTCACATGTTCTTTGCATTCTTCCACAAGAAACAATGTTGCAGATTGAAACTGGACGACAGCGTGACCCGAAAGAAAGCTGGAGGGAGGAGACGCACAGAAGCTTTCACACACAGGGGCTTTTACACAGAGAAGTCTTTACACAAAGGAGCTTTTTACACGCAGAAGGCTTTACACAGAGAAGCCTTTACTCAAAGGAACTTTTGCACACAAGCGCCCAGGAGCTTTCACACACAGATGTTTTTACACGAAGAAGTCTTTACAATTTACACAGAGGGTTTTTTACGCACAGACGCGTTTGCGCACAGAAGCTTTTACACAGAGAAGCCTTTACACAGAGGAGCTTTTACACACAAAAGCGTTTACACACAGCAAGCTTTTACACACACAGGGGCTTTTACACAGAGAAGTCTTTACGCAGAGGAGGTTGTTACACACAGAAGGTTTTACACAGAGAAGTCTTTACTCTAAGGAGCTTTGCACACAAACGTCTTGGAGCTTTTACACACAAAAGCTGTTACACAAAGAAGTCTTTACACAGAGAGCTTTAACACACAGACGCGTTTACACACAGAAACTTTTACACAGAGAAGCCTTTACACAGAGAGTTTTTACACATGGAAGCTTTTACATACAGAGAAATCTTTACACAGACGCGCTTTCACACAGAGAAGCTTTCACACACAGAAGGAAGCTTTTACACAAAGAAGTCTTTACACAGAGAAACTTTTACACACAAATGCTTTTACACAGAGAAGTCTTTGCACAGAGGCACCTTTACACGAAGTAACAAGTTGAAATTGGCAGCAGTTCCTTAGGAAAAACCCTTCGTAGGAGCTTTCGGGAACTCACTTGCTCCCAAAAAAACAGTCTATGTCCAACAAATATGCTCCAAAAAACCTAAGGAATATATTTCTGAAGCAGGTCCTCATTCAATAGCTTTCAAGCCCATACTGCGATGAAATGGAGGGTCGAGTAATCCGGCGGAGCCGACGATGAGCGTCAGCTCAAAAATAGAGATGGCAGTTTTTGCTAGCTAGTTGATTTTCTTGACCTTTGTTGAACGAAAAGACAATCATGCTAAGAGTGGCATGTGACGGCATGTGTCGCTTAACCTCTTTGCCAGCAAGTCGCCGCCAGATGCTGGTTTGCCTGCAGGCGATGAGCTATCATGATACTGAAATCTCGATCTGTCGTTCACTTGAAGCATCTTGAAGCAAAGCAGCATCGAACGCAACTCTCTGTCATGCGGCATATCCTGCCTACCACTTCTGGAACGACGTCCTTTTCAGACACGATGTTATCAGCATCGGAAACCTCCGCAGTCCCGTATGCCCAGCAATTGGACTTTCACTTCAATTAAACATCATGTACGAGTAGAGTGAGCATCCCTAGGACAATGTTGCAAAACATAGTTGCAGCACGAGTTTGGAGCTTGCATCTGGGTGCACCTTGTCATTCCGCAGCTCTGATTTTTCCGGACTCTCATCCATTCCTGGCATTGCAAATCCAAGAATGCATGCACCATCCAATCCCAAAATCCCGCTGAAGGTCATGACAGTCATAGCATGCCCCAACCTCCAGTTTGAGAGTTGTCTTGCTTCTGGTCACATTTGGCACTGGAGCCTGCAAACCAGTGCTGCTCTTCAACGCTGGCAGCAGGTGCCAAAACGGGTTAGCATGTCAGTAGGATATCACGTCGGGCACCTCCCCAATCTCGCCAAGAAAACATCGAACACCCATGAAAATGCAACTGGCTGGTGGATCAATTCTGCTCGGTCTGTTGGTTTGATCTTTGCAACACGCAATTCTCTGACGCCTTGGCTCTTCATTTGCAGCAGCTGGCTTTGCACTTTCCCCAGCAAACCTTTCAGCTGGTCAGTTGATTGGCCAAGCTCCTGCAAGGCACAGATTGACAAAGGCTAACATGTGTAGTATAGCCACTTCACCCAAATCATCATAGCACAGAGATATATCATATGCATATATCACGCACAAATATATGTATATGTATATATATATATATAAATTAGTGTCATGCATATAACATACAAATAAATATATACTAATACTATATTATATATATACTGTAGGTTTATATGCAACTTTCATGACCGTGACGAATTAGTGACCATATGATGAATTATGATGAATTGCTCAAGGCCAATATCTACGGTGATGTGAGACTCTCCTGAGGCCATTCAAGCCTCTCTGTTTTTGCCATCTCCTCGAGCGGGCAGGATTGTTGACGTTATGTTGGCTTCAACTCCAATGCATTCAACACAGCGGAGTTGCCAAACAAACAATCAAGAAATACAGAATGCGAATCCATATCACGAGTTGTAGGCGAACCAGGCTACTTCAGTCGAGTCAAGTGCGTAGAATGCAAGGACAATCATAGGACAAGCGTATGATATCATATGCTAGGCCAGGCGTATATGCTTCTATTCATCACTTCTCTGCATTCCATATGAACTGCTTTCCTGGAAGCGCTGCTCCAGTGAATTGAGAAGTAGCTGCATGCCTGGTGCAAGATGTCAAAAGACAAGATATCCAAATAATTACATATAATTACCATCAAATGCCAATCCACAGCGGCGGCACATTCATCTCCAACTAGTGATTCATCTTTGTCCATAGCCACGCATGGCTGCAGGGGGTTTTCTTGGGCTCCGACTTTTTGCCACCTTGCACAGTGGAACGGATGCACGTGTAGCGCATATCATGAAGGCATCTCACAATCAAATGTACTCAATTGTGGCGTTGAGTTTCTTCTCACGAGCATGGCCATAATATGCCACGATCCATGATCATTCATGATCCACATGAGCCCTCACATGTATCGACGTACTTCAGCCAAGCGGCAGCATCTGCATAGGACACGGCATCTTGCATATCGTTAAGCTCTGGATATCTGGAGCTCATGTCGGCTTAGCCGACGTCCTGGGCAAGCGGGTAGATCTTTTGAAAATGTTAGGGGGCTATGCCAGATAACCCTGCCAGGTTCGCAAAAAAAGGATTCCCTGCAAGGGTTTCGGGGTGTTACCAGTACATCTGCATTGCTATCATTGCTTGCAATTGCGTGTCCGTCTTTTGAGATTCTTGGCTCCAAAATTGCCAAATAGCCCAACAGTTTCAACATGTTTCAAACTTGTACATACACAAATACGCGTACTGCATGTGTATGTGTATATATATATATACGTGTGTGTGTGTGTTCTGTGCATGCATGCATGCATGCATGCATGCATGCATGCATGCATGCATGCATAATTATATGTATATGTATATACTGTTATTTATATATATACACATAATCATATATGATATCATATATGTATATGATATCATATATGTATATGTACCTATGCATGCCTGCATGTATGTATGTGTACTTTTAAGATCCTTTAAGTAAATACTATTGGCCAATGCAAAGCAGAAAAGCTGCCAAGTCGCGGCCCCACTCTACTTGTGAGATCTGGTGAGACACTTCAACGGCGCAATTCGGCCGTAACTTGGTGGAACCTCTGCTCCAACAAGTGCAACAAGACTAGATGTTGGTGACTGTTAGATCTGTTAGTGGACTTGATGGATGACTTGATGGATGACTTGATGGCCTTCTGCAGTGTTGAGAGACATGACGAATCGTGACGTACTGCGTGTGTGACTGTGCGCCCGTGACAAGTGGAATGGTTTTGTCTCAGAGGTCACACCTAACACCCGCGAAGGCAAGACCCCCCCGCCTGCCGGGCTCAAATGTCTGAGCCAGAGCTACAGGACCGATACATACCAACAGCAGTACCAAACATCGCAGTTGTGAAAGTGCTCTGGAATGACTAATCATTTCTAAAGGTCTGCACAGGTGTCCACACGTGTATTTCAGAACTTTCGACCGCTCATGCTGATCATGTTTCGCCACGATTTAAGAAGAAATGAAATAACGATAACAACCTCTCACGCCTTTTCCAATAGAGAAAAAAGTTACCGTTGACCCGTCTTACCCATATCAAAAAGCTTTCAAACAACTAGAAACCTTGATCGCACGGCTGTTTGGTCAATGTTTCTGTTTCGTGTGTTTGCCAGTGCTCTTGGACCACGACCAAGATGCGCAAGGCATTCTCCCAATGTTTACCTTGCAGCAATCTGCATATCTTCATACGTCAATGTCTGAACTTTGCACACCAATGGCATGGCAGCATGGTTTGAAGCTTGGAGCACCTTGACCCCAGCTGGAGATGGCAACATTGAAGCTGACTTGGTCTGGTCCTGACAGCTGTGCAAGATGTGTCGGCGTTGCCGTTGCTTGACCACATTGAATTCTTAGATATTCTTAGGATCAGGCGAATTGCAAGGCCCATGGAAGTGGAGCAAAGCTCATCAAACAGGCACAAGGCCTCGTTAACTTAGGCATCACATGCATCACATGCATCCCATGACGTTCTCAGCAACGCCAAGAAAATCACTCGGGATCGGACAGCTGGCCACTGCGAAGCTCTTTCGCAAACACTAGAGGCCTGGGAATGGTGGAGCCTACATAAAACAACTTTTACTAAGCTTCACGCTTCCTACATCTTCCTGTCGGCATTCCTGCGACACTTACAAGAGTTCATCACAACTCTGGGTTCAGCACAGCATTGACAGCTGCAACCTCTGTCGGCAAGTTGGACAACCAAAACCAAATTACGCCGTTGCGCAGCCAATTTTGAGATCACCAAGCGCCTGACATCCAGGAGTTTCCGGTGCAAGTACTGCCCGGCTTTGTTGTGTCTTTCCTTGCGGCACATGCATGAAGCGCAAGAATGCGCAAGTATTCAGGACCAACATTGCAGCAAACTGACAAACGGATACATAAACGAGTGTTTCTCAAAATTGGGGCACCCCAGCCCCAAAAACATTAGTTTACATACGTATGTCTACGACATAGGTTTCCCCATTTTTAGTACGTACTTTTAAGTGACCGGTTTTGGATGATTTTTGCCCACCCCCCCATTGGCCTCATTTAGGGAAATCGTAGCATCGAGGCACCTTGAGGCCCTTGGCCTGGTCCAACTGAGCTGCCTTGGCTTCCTGCAAGAGCTGCAGGGCCTCAAACGAACATGGGCCACATCTGAGTCCAGCCTTGCTGAAAGAATACCCTTTGGATATCTTTGGATACTGTGGATCAATGTGGATCATTTGTGGATCGGAGGTTTCTTGATGATACTTGAGCAATCTTTGCAACATGATGTGACTTGTTAAGTTGTGGGCTCCTTGCCAGTCGCTGAATGCCCTCAGTGCCGGCAAAAACTCCATGGGTTGACCAGGTCCAAAGCACAGAGCCAAGGCCATAGCGAAAATGACAAGGCTGCACTGCTGCACACGGCATCTGGTTGTATGGCCCTGTCCTCCACGATATAGAGATGGGCTGAGATGGGACATATTTTGAAATGGCTGATCGGAATGATGCGGAAACCCGGAAACCACGTGCTCTCTCTGTCTCTGCTTGCTTCCTGCTCCCAGTCATGCATCCACGCCTCCTACATACTCTTGCATGTCTTGCATGTCTTGCGTGTCTCACATCTGTGATGTGTCACGGAAACCACACATCTATACATCTTGAGAGGGATCTAGCTAGATTTTTGCCCATCATTAGCAGGTTTTTGTTTCTGATTGTGAGGGTTTGGGGTTGACGGTGTTTATTGTTTCAGAAGCTCAAGAACTGTGGGCCTGTGCAGGAATTTGAGCACTGGGAAGAAATATAAAGGAACAAGACAACAATTGCGTTGTTGTTGAGGCAAACGCCAGGCATGTGCCGTACCTCTGTGTGTCGGTGGGTGCGCATGTAACGCGAACATCATTTCACAGCTGCGCACGTCTATGTGCAGTCAACCTTTCGGTCTTACTACCGACTATGGTCTGTTGGCTCTAGGCCACAACTTGATACAACAAATGTAGTGCTGGAATGGTGCTGGATGTGGGCGCTGGGCATGTGAAACGCAACAAAGCAGGCGGTGCCACTTCAGGTATCATCAGGTATCATCAGCGATGATCAGCGATGATCAGCGGTCCCGCCAACTTGAGATCTCTCAATATCTCACATGATTTTAATCATGATTTGACTAAAATTGTCACATATTTTGACTCGTTTTGGGTCCTTCATCGTGGTGATGATTTTGATGGCACTTTCCCAGCGCTGCAACCGCCGGCACCTCGGTGGCCGCCAGTGACCCAGTGACTCACAGCCAAAGCATGAGGACACATAAACATATGAACACATAATACATATATGATCATATATATATATATTCATATATGTATATATTATATTACTATATGTTATTCAAAAACGACATTTATAATATTTTATAATTAGATAAATGACATGTAGAACGATATACAATAAATACATATCACATATCTATCAAGACTCAAGACACCATAAAGCAACGTTGTCGACAAAGGCCCCCTGCGCTGATAGCGTCGAAGTATAGCTTAGAAGCCCAGGCCTGGAGTATCAAAAATTGTTCAACCAGGTCGAACCCCTCTTTAGTGGCACCGTGTGACTGACACGCTTGGACATATTGCACCACATTTCACCAGTATCCGAAATCATCCACTTGTGAAAGACACAAATATGAAACATAGTAAAACCATGCGTACTGCATGCAAATATGGATAATGTGTGTATCATGTAAAAGACTCAAAAAAAAAAAAGCATTAAAAGGCTGCAGTATCAGCAATGGCGTTGCAGCGGAGTCGATTTCAACACTTCGTTCTGGCGCGTTTTTTTTCCACCGGCTAATCCCACGCATCGGTTGGAGCAGTGGACGGTTGAGTCCAGCCAGGTCGCAAACTCTGAAGCGGCTGCGAAAGACTTGGCTTGGGACGTTTGGAGGGCTCCTTTTCGTGGTGATCAAAGCTTTGGGCAAAAGCGTCATGAAACTTCTTGGTTACTTTTTCCAGTTTGTCTCGACGCGTGAGCGGAACTCCAATGCGAATATATCCTTCACCAAAACAATCACTAATAATCACCAACAAGCACCAACAATCACCAACAACACCAATATAGATAATATAGTTATATCATAGTTATATAATGTGATATACACATATAAATACATACACACAGTCACCATATATATATATATATTAAATATATAATATACATCATGGATCATCATAATTCCATCAAGTTCTATCCTTTTCCAACAGCGGCGACTCCTGTGTGGACGGAACTTCTGGCTCTTCCAAGCTGTCAGGACGCGGGCCATCTTCGCTGTACTCCTGTGAGTTATTGTGAGTTTCTGTTGGGATATCTGTAGAAAATCAATGGAAATTCAATGGAAATTCAATGGAAATTCAATGATATCATGAATGGAACATTAGCAACTCTTGAAGTCCGTCTAAAGCCAGTCTGAAGGCGGCCTAAAGCCATCTCCGTCGAGCAGGCTGAGGGTAAAACCAGAAAAGAAGTCAAAGGTGACATAGTGCAACTACCACCCGGAACTGAACATTTCAGTACTTTGATGATCTTTGATGTATTTACTTTTGGGGGAACACTCAGGAGCTGCATTGAACAAAGCATCGATCACTCTAAGACTAACCCCAAATACTTCCAGACTTGATGCAGAATCTGGGATCACCATGGATCACCTGAATCAGCCTGAATCGCAACAGCACGTCCTCGTCAGTTTCAGGCCCATCTACCGGCTCCCCAGGTTCACGGGTGCTGGCTGCTCCATCTGCTTCACTGCCATTGGAAGCCACTGCTTGTTGCAGGGCAACCAGCGATGAACGCATTTCGGCCAGCAGTTCCTCTGGATCCAACATTGTCTATATAACAATAACAACAACATTAACAAGCGCCATATGGAAAGCAAAAATGAAGCAATGCAAGGAGTGCAGTATGAGTGCAGCCTGAACTTGGATCTGAGCAAGGCACTCCCTCTCTCTCTCTCTCTTTCTCTCTCTCCATCGCCATCTCAGAGATTTTTTCCAGTATTGCTACTACATTATAATCATGTATATCTATCTATCTGTCTGTCTGTTTATCTATCTATCTATCCATCCATCCATCCATCTATCTGTCTCTCTATCTATCCATCCATCCATCCATCTATCTCTCTCTCTCTCTCTATCTATCTATCTATCGATCTATCTATCTATCTATCTGTCTGTCTGTCTGTCTGTCTGTCTGTCGATCTATCTATCCATCCATCCATCCATCCACCTATCTATCTATCTATCTCTATCTATTTCTATCTATCTCTATCTATCTCTTTCTATATATCTCTATATCTATCTCTCTATCTCTATCTCTCTATCTCTGTCTCTCTATCTCTGTCTCTCTATCTATATCTATATCTATGTCCATTAGTCTATACCTATCTATCTATATATATATATACAGTATCCCATATTCTATATCGTTCTATATCTAGATAATATACCTCCGGTTCCTCGCAGCACGCTGATAAAAATGTCCTGCGGGGCATTGAGGCTTTCTCGCATTCGGATTGCCAACGCCCACATGCTAGCTGCAGCCTGGAGCGCAGGCAAAACAGTCTGCTGTATGACTGTATGACTGTATGCCGACAAATCCTCTCATCCAATGATCGAATGCCTCCCGGCCAACGGCCCAGAATGTTGGCAAAATATGTTCCATATCCAATCCATATCCATCCATATCCCAGAGCCTCAAAATCTGCTTCCTGCATGTGCTTTGCAGCACCAGCTTCAAGCGCGTGGGCTGCCTTCTCTTCGACGGCCTGCCAAGCTGCAACAGTCAACACTGAAATCATCAATGCATCGAGGGGCAGGGGTTGTGACTCTCATCCAAAAAACAATAACTGTGTGTTGACTGTGTTGACTGTGTTGACTGTGTTGACCGTGTTGACTGTGTGCAAGTTTGGGGTCCTGAATTTCAGATCCAGCCCAGGCATCGTTGCTTCCATAGTAGCTTCGAAGCTGCCTGCGAGAGCGGCACAGGATCATAAAGTTCATAAAGTGCTTTGCAGGTCTTTGCAGAGTCTGACTACCCTGATGATGCCCTGATGCATCCTGACATAGCTTGGCAATGCTTGGCATACTCTGAAAATCGCTGAAAGCTTTCAAGCCGATCTGGCATAAGTTCGAAGCCTGGAGAGGATGATCAACATCGGTGCAGCCAGGCCGGGCTTTCCAGCGCTGAGGCAAGCATCAGACAGCTCCTGCAAGGCCTGAAAATGTTCATCGCTGCCTTCTCCAAACTTCTCTTCCACCATCCTGGATGCACACGGCCATAGCTGAAAATATAGATTCTCTGCCAACCCTGATTGCGGATGATACAGTGCTTTCAGCCTTTGAACATCTTTGAACGCTCCCAAAAATGCCAGAAACAATAATGCCATAATGCATTATTCTGCAATTGCATGAGAAATGGCAGAAGGGGGGGTTGATCGGAAGGTTTGATACGGTAGATTTTGATAGCAAGTACTGTCAAGTACTTGACATGGTTCGACTCTGCCCCAAGAAATGTCAAGAATCTGTGTGATGAGGTCCAACAAAGCTGGAGAGGCTACAGCATCGTCACCCGCAGCAGCCAGGGTTTCGGAGTATTCAGCGACCAATCCGGGCACCTCAAAGCTGTCAGGCACCTCTGCCAGCAACTGCATGGCCTGTAGGAATTGATCCTGGGCTTTCTTTAGTTGACCCACACGCCGCAGAACACGAGCCAAAGAAGCTCTACACGCAGAGATTTCCAAGACTTCTTCCATGTTGGGCTCTGGGATTAAGGTAAAAACGTTCAAGGCCTTCTGCAGCAAGTCCAAGGCAGCAGAGGTTTGACCAGGTGCCAGAGCATAGCTCCGACCACATTCTGCGTAAACACTTGCCACGACCCGCGTTGGAAAGTCGTCAGGTCGAGGCTGGCCCCCGCCACTCAGGAAGTTTCGATCACAAAGCGAACACATCCGTTTGCAATATTCCAAAGGTCTGTCCCATGTGTCTTCCCCGTGAATGGAATATTCACGATCTGCCTTGAAGACCTTGGTTCGTTGGGCTAAGTTCAGTGAGTTCACATCGACCCCGGAAATAGATGGAAATAGTAGATTTCGGCAGATTGTTGCAAATTAGTTAGAAATCATATACAGTAGAATTCAGTAGAAGCATTCATAGTTGTCACTGTTGGGCACATCTTCGGAGATGTCTGAACTCTGAACTGGGACTTTTCGAAAGAGTTCGAAAAGAAAAACTCAACACGTCCAAAAAAATGGAGGCAGACTTCCGACAGCGGACATACTGGTAGAGGAGATCTGTGTGGAGCTTTTGACGTTGCGCTCTACACAACTGCACGCTTCCGTCCGAAAATAGCAATCTTCTTTACACATCTTTAGACTATCATGACACAGGAGTCAACCAAACTGTATCAGCAGCCTAAAATCATCTGAAATCCCAAGTGTCGAGCTCCAAAGCTACAAATTTCATCAAATAGGATGATGTGGGGCAAAACTGAGCTGCAGACCGTAAGAAGAACTGCAAGAACATTGGCATCGGTGGCTCCATCGGTGGCATCGTTTAGAGCTTCTCGTGCCTCCTCTTCGGCATCCTCGACCTCAACGCTGAGAACGCTGAGAACGCGTAAGAACCAGAACGATTCGTCGACATTTGAATCCAAGTACCCCAAGTACCCCAAAGACACCAGAAACATCCAGAAACATCCAGAAACCTTAGAATTCAGATATGTTCAGATATGTTCAGATGATTCTCATCAAATATTACCCCTCAACAGGTCAAGCCAGGACACTGAAAGTCCTAGAAGTCTTTCAGAAAGCCCTTCCATATCCACAGAGCCACTCCTGCAACTACAAGGCAGTCATTAAAGATAATTCAAATACATTCAAACACTTTCTACATGAAGATGTATGGCAATGTATGGGGGCAAAATCATCTCAAATCCTTCACTTTAGTCTTTCTTTTCCATTCTTTTCCTGAATCTCTGTTTTTCACAAGCCTCGCTTGATTCGCTTGTGTCATGGAAGCATCATGAAGCACCGGATCTCAGCCCTGTCCAGGTCACAAGCGGAGGCATGCGGGAAGGCATAGCACCATACGATGACAGAGGCATGGGCACACCTCGGGCAGCATCCTGTGAGAGCTTGACTATCTTGATCTATCTTGACTGTGGCATCTGATAGCCGTTTTGGATCGTTTTGGGCCATAGGCAAAGACCTCCAATTGTGGGAGAGTCCGGCACAGAATTCAAATGGCAAGAAGCTATTCTCGCCCTCATCGTCTGCATCGATGTCCGCAGAGTCGTAGTCGTCCATAGGCGCCATGGCTCTCAAATAAGTATGTTCAGATTTGTTCAGATTGCTTTGTCAAAATATGTCAGTTTGGATTTGAATGGATTTAAATAGATGGATTTAGATGGATTTATATAGATGGATTTAGGATATCGGAACTTCATTCCTACTCAGCTCATCGTCAATGATACACGTCACGATCAAGCATCATGTTCTCCCTGCATGGCATGTGGTTGACAATCAAGCTGTCCCGCATTTCAAGGGAAAGTCAAAATGCTATGCAAATGCCTCAGAGACTGTGACTCAGCTCCAACTAGCATCTCTGTCAAGACACCATCTACTAACCCCTTCTCCCTAATTAAGTATTGGATCTGATATCTCTCTCTCTCTCTCTCTCCATCGCCAATGATCTATTGATTTAAGGGTCTCATATGGGTGGGTATCTAATATTAAAGGGAATTGGACTAGTAGGCACCAACTGCTGGGTCACGAGCTCCAAATCTTCAGCAAGCGCTGCCTCTAAGAGGACGAACCTACAGATGTGACAACCAGACATAACCAGACTGTTGTGTTGTGTTGGCATAGCAAGGAACCCCTACATCTGAATGCAAAGAGCGCATCGTGACGAAAATGTAGGATCCTAGCGATGCATCAACCTGTCACGGTGTAAGCAAGAGACATGCACAACAGCACAAAATAACCCGGGTCTTAAGACGATTCTCGTGATCAGTGAAATGATGGAAAGTACCTCTGCTGAACACTACCAAATCCATGATGTGCGCAGGCCAAAAGAGAGAAATATCATGCTAACGACAGGTCGGGTTCAAAAATAGCAAACCACGTTGTCATTTCATAGAAGTAAAGCGCGTTCGTTTCACAAACCAACATTCTCTGGTGATGAAGATGACCAAGCATGCCGTAACAACATATAACATCATATTATCCGCCGACCCCGGCCTTGGCCAAGGCAGGGGCGGCGCCTGGGACCACCGCAGGTGTGGAACTTGTCTTTCTTAGCAACAGGCATCCCAAGGCCACATCAATGGCTTCTTATGGGCGTCCAAGCTTGCAGTTTGCCAGCCCCTAAGCCCTTACAACCATCCAAACGCTCCACACGCTCCAAAACCTCCACAACCCTCAAACCCCTAAAACAATCGATGGCTTCTTATGGGCGTCCAGCGCATGCAAAAGCGACCCCAAGGCCCGATCCATCACTTCTTCAGGGCGGTCCCAAGTGCCGTTCGCCAGGCCTTCGCAGCCAACAGGCGTCCCAAGGCCACATCCATGGCTTCTTATGGGCGTCCAAGCTTGCCGTTTGCCAGCCCCTAAACCCTTAAAACACTCCAAGCCCTCCAAACGCTCCAAACCCTCTCAACCCCCAAAACGTCAAAACCCTTGCAACCTTCAGCCAACAGGCGTCCAGACGCTTGCCTCCAACGCAGGCCACAGCGACCCCACGGCCAGATCCATTGCTTCTTCCAAGGCCGCCAGGCCTTCGCAGCCAACAGGCGTCCCAAGGCCACATCCATGGCTTCTTATGGGCGTCCAAGCTTGCCGTTTGCCAGCCCCTTAACCCTTAAAACGCTCTAAACCCTCCAAACCCTCCAAACGCTCCAAACCCTCTCAACCCCCAAAACGTCAAAACCCTTGCAACCTTCAGCCAACAGGCGTCCAGAGGCTTGCCTCCAACGCAGGCCACAGCGACCCCACGGCCAGATCCATTGCTTCTTCCAAGGCCGCCAGGCCTTCGCAGCCAACAGGCGTCCCAAGGCCACATCCATGGCTTCTTATGGGCGTCCAAGCTTGCCGTTTGCCAGCCCCTAAACCCTTAAAACGCTCCAAACCCTCCAAACGCTCCAAACCCTCTCAACCCCAAAACGTCAAAACCCTTGCAACCTTCAGCCAACAGGCGTCCAGAGGCTTGCCTCCAACGCAGGCCACAGCGACCCCACGGCCAGATCCATTGCTTCTTCCAAGGCCGCCAGGCCTTCGCAGCCAACAGGCGTCCCAAGGCCACATCCATGGCTTCTTATGGGCGTCCAAGCTTGCCGTTTGCCAGCCCCTAAACCCTTAAAACGCTCCAAACCCTCCAAACCCTCCAAACGCTCCAAACCCTCTCAACCCCCAAAACGTCAAAACCCTTGCAACCTTCAGCCAACAGGCGTCCAGAGGCTTGCCTCCAACGCAGGCCACAGCGACCCCACGGCCAGATCCATTGCTTCTTCCAAGGCCGCCAGGCCTTCGCAGCCAACAGGCGTCCCAAGGCCACATCCATGGCTTCTTATGGGCGTCCAAGCTTGCCGTTTTGCCAGCCCCTAAACCCTTAAAACACAAACCCTCCAAACCCTCCAAACGCTCCAAACCCTCTCAACCCCCAAAACGTCAAAACCCTTGCAACCTTCAGCCAACAGGCGTCCAGACGCTTGCCTCCAACGCAGGCCACAGCGACCCCACGGCCAGATCCATTGCTTCTTCCAAGGCCGCCAGGCCTTCGCAGCCAACAGGCGTCCCAAGGCCACATCCATGGCTTCTTATGGGCGTCCAAGCTTGCCGTTTGCCAGCCCCTTAACCCTTAAAACGCTCTAAACCCTCCAAACCCTCCAAACGCTCCAAACCCTCTCAACCCCCAAAACGTCAAAACCCTTGCAACCTTCAGCCAACAGGCGTCCAGACGCTTGCCTCCAACGCAGGCCACAGCGACCCCACGGTCAGATCCATCGCTGGAACCCTGGAAACCCCTCAAACCCTGGAAACCCGCAAAACCGTTCGATACTCTATTTTCCTTGTGATCACGTCATCGGCCACATTCCCTCTAAGCGGGGCAAATGTAAACATACGCTTTTTCCTTCACAACGCCGTGTTTCACAGAAAACTGGTTCCCACACACCGTTCGCTGGTCTATTTGCCCTGTCTTCCCGTCACTGGCCACATTCCCTTTGCAAGCGGGGCAACTATAAACATACTCTTTCGCAACGACCTGCGCGTCCCACACCTGGAAACGGTTACCGTCTGCGCTCCGGTGATCTACCTCGCCTGTGCGTCTACCTGTTGCCACATCAATGGCTTCTTATGGGCGCCTCTCGGCGTTCAAGCCTGCCGTTTACTACTGTTTTCCTTCACAACGCCGTCTATCTATCTATCTATCTATCTATCTATCTATCCATCCATCCATCTATCTATCTATCTCTCTCTCTCTGTATCTATCTATCTCTCTATGTATCGATCTATCTATCTATCTTTCTTTCTTTCTTTCTTTCTCCCTCCCTCTCTCTCTCTCTCTCTCTCTCTCCCCCTCTCTCTACAGGACCCCCCAAATAGGGGGGTCGGCGGCACCAGGGCGCTAGCCCATTCTATAACAACAGCAAATGGAAGAAACAAGGAGCGGGCGTGAGCTGGTGGGCAGCTCTTGCGGTGAGAGTGCACGATGTTACAAAACGGACCCTGCTGGCCTTGTCATTCCGTGCACAGGCACTCACTCCTATTCCATAGCCTCGGCCGCGAAGGCCAAGCATTAGTATTAAAGCCTTGACGACAAGAACGACAACTCTGCCGTGTACCCTTGCAGGTGAACCGTCGCAGGTATGTGGTACGTGCCACCAAGATGCATGTTGCATTCAAATCAACCTTGGAAGCCTGTGGCGGAATCCATGCGCGAAGCTTTGAGTAGAATGCAGAAGTCTTCTTACTAGCAGTCTGATATGCAGAATTAATATACGGGCTATGATGGATATTTCGAGCTGATCATTGCCCTGGCCTTCATGCCCTCTAAGCAGGACACTGCATGCCTTGAAAACGCACTTCTCTGCAGGCTATCAGATCTATCAGAGATTCCGCAAACGAGCTTCTGGGATCTATACTGCCAAGCTCCTCCTTTCCCGCAGGCTCCAATGGCAGCCTGAAAACCCGTTGTTTACCACTACCAGCACATATGCAAGATCGCGAATCGTGCAAGTCAGAGACCATCAGCCCTTGGCTCAGCTTCACACTGCCACCGCTGGTCCAGCAGGAGGGACTGGCCTTCTGAACAGGAGCTCCAAGGCTGCAGCCTCAGGCGGATCGGCAAACCGCTCCCTGGCATCCAACTTCTGGGTCAAACTGTCGTCTGTTGATGCCTGTTGCACACCGTGGCTGCACACCACCAAAACCCTTAACACTTAACACCCTAACATCCATTAACATCCCCTAACCCACCACACCAGCAACGACGTGGAAACCTTGCTGACAAGAAAGGCATGGCTGGACCATATCCGCTTTTTCGACTCTGTCTGCTGCCCACCATTGCCTCACCTGGTGCTCTTTGCAGGTGCTATGCCAAACATCCAATTGCTCTCTCACCAGATCCTTGAGTTCCTTCTCGCTGACTTCCAAGCTGGGTGGTCTTCCAGGCAAGCCACGGCGGATATACGCTCCCGGAGGTGCAGCAATCCAGTAAGGAATGGACACCAAAGGCCAACCTTGAGATGCAAAGACCCGTTGTTTCAGCACTGCTCGTCCACGGGGTCGCCAGAATGGCCGCACACAGAAATGTGAAGGTCCCTCAACTTCAACAAAGAAACTATTGCCATTGACTGTGCATTGAAAGTCTGCTGAAAGGCCCGGGCTCACTACCACATCCTGACAGGGTTCAAAGCCACATCTAGACAATGCATTGCCAAGTACGTTCTCAAGATGCGAAGCCCGTCGAACCACCTTGGATTTCTGTTCCAGAGCTTGGTCTAGCACTCTACCGTGCTCTGGCAGCAACTGAGCATCACTTTGCAAGCAGCCGGCTTTGCTCAAGAGATCAACGACCTTCAAACCGTACAGGGCCACAGCCTTGCTCCCCTGCAGGTGAGATGGGGGCCTAGCAATCACCTCACCAATCACATTGGACAATAACGGATCCGGAGTCGACAAATGGGCTAAAGCCCCAGCCATCTGATGCAATCGACTGTCCTCCTCTTTGACCCACGATTCCGATGGCTTATAGCCAGCAATGCTTTCGCTGAATTCAGTCAAGGAATGATTTAGGCTGTTGCAAGCAAGCAGCCATTGTCGCAACCCCTGGGTCGGCAAAGGTGGATCCTCACTGAGCTTTGCGGCTAAAAGCCCTGATGCCGTCTGGAAAACCTTCTCGTCATAAATACCAAGCCGGGATAGCGCAAACAATGGAAATCCCAAATCCCTGTCATCAAGTGAAGCACTTGGTACGCCAGTCCATGTGGAAAGCAATCTGGCACATGTTCCTTCCACAACAGCAAACAGTCGCCGCAAATGTGCATTCGGCGTGGTCGCATGCCCAAAAGGCAAATCTTCGTGCGTGTCGCCCAACCCCATGAGAACTCCTGACTCAAACAAGCAAAACAGACAAATGATGGAAGAATCCATGGTTGAGGTTGCAATGTCAAGCACCCATCCAAAGAATAGACTCTAGACAGCAGTGGAGAGAAGTACAAGAAGTGCACAATGCAAATGTGCACATATATATATATATATAATGTGTGTGCGTGTGCGTGTATTTACTATAAGATATTGCGTAATATTAATATTTTAAAGCATTGAAGCATATTAAAGATCATTAAAGCAAGAACGCAAAAAAAGATCGACTTGACGGTGGACACTGAGCGACGTGAAAGACCCTTTTGATCGAGCTCAGGGATGGAATCTTGGATCGCCACAAGGAGGTCGGCAAACATCGGGTCATCCTGGCGCCAGATTCGAATCAAGGGACCATATGATGGCAATATGACATCAATATGACATCAATATGATGGCATGTCCTGGCATGGCTTAAATTCCTTCCTTTCTCTCCTACTTGGTTTAGGCAACTCCAAGATGACTCAGGTAATTAATGTAATTATATACATTGCATTGGGATGCTTTCTGAATGCATGTGAATGCCACACAATCCCATACCAGGTTACCATACGCCTGCACAACATGCCTTTGGCTTTACTTTTGTGGTTGTATTGCATCAAGTTACCAAGCGGGGGGAAGCAAAGAGGTTTTGCTCCAAAACGTGCCAAAACAAACTTGCACCCCATCTCCTGCAACCCGAGCTGCATGGCATCATGGCGCTCCCAGTCTGCCTCGTGTGCCAGGTTCCAATACCAGGTGTTTGGATCTCTTTTCACATCTTTCCACTGTTTGCACCGTGCCCAGGTTCTCACCATCACTACCCTACGTTTCCACATGCCCCATGTATGTGCAAGCCCAACTGGCGCAATGGAATATGAAGAAATGCACCCAGATTACAAATGAATAATGATATCAAACGATTATAAATATGTTCAGACTGTTCAGATATCTTCGAATCTTCAGCATATGTTGGCAGTGACAAGCGCCTTGCTTTCGCTTGTGCCTCGCCCTCTGGTCATACGACCCAAGTTGTACAAAGCTCCAACATGGTCTGCAGCAGCTTTGCCCTGCTCCTGGGACAGAAGCACATCAATTGCATTCAACATCACTTCATGTCACTTCATGTCGCTTCATACTGAATTATACTTCATTGCCATTGCCTGTGAGTCAACATCACTATCATCACTATCATTTTCATATCATCACTGATCTGCAAAGGAAAAAACATGTACAGAATGTCCTTCCATTGGCTCAAAATCTGCCACGGTGATCTGATCGCCGTGTCTCTGGAGACTCTGGAGACCCCACGGGCCGCTGCAGCGAAACGACCAATTCTCATTCGAAGACTTTGACGCTGCTGCCATTGGCTAAGGGAAGACTAGAAATGGCAGGCAATATCTGGCAATGCTGGTCTAAGAAACAACCTGTTCCGAGTCAATTGATATCAACCAACTCATTTCATCCATATATGATCTATAATTGACTATAAACATAAGAATTCATATCAATTAAGTCCAATGTGAATCTTGCAAACCTCGGTTCTGAAACTGTCCAGACTTCTCCGCACTTCATCCTCGTGCTTGATCGATGAATCAGTAATTAGTAGCCAGGCGGTAGGTAGTTGCTATATAATTGTTCCTTGTTCTTGCTTGTTTCCCTTACAAGTATGAACCAACGACATCGACACTCCTTCAAGTGCTTGAAAATACAAGCTGGAATGTCAAGCAGGTATGCTTGGGCCAGAAGGCATGTAGCAACCAGACCCTGTCCACTCATCACTGAATCCTGATAGTCATTGGATATCATTGGATGCCATTGCGAGCTCCGCTTTCTTCTGCCCTGTGCGCGCTGCGCTGCCTTTCAGCCTTCGCACATGCATCGATGCACTCGCTGTAGCCTTGACTTCACCAGAAAGCTTTCAGGGGAGGAGAGGTTTCAACTGATTTCAATGGAGGGGCCCGTTATGCCATTGCGGCGACTCTGGGGGAGTTAATATCCTAGTGTCCTAGTGTCCTAGTGGTGCAAATGCTCGAATCGAATCATGAAGCATCCCTCCCTGACCTCCCAAATTTATCTGATTTGTGAGTTCAGTATGAACAGGAGTTGAATTCTTGTTGATCATACGGAATCATACCAAGAAACTCACAGGGTCGGCCACCTTTGAAGTCTCCATAGTTCTCAACAGAAGAAGGGCAAATTGCCACTGACCCGCCTGGACGGAGCTCAATTTACATCAAAGCAATGAGAGTTGGACTCCCAAAATCAGAGGTTGCAGCACTCTTCAGCTTTTCAATATGAACACTTTACCCCCACTCTCCTCCGCACAAGCTCCAATCACTGCACTGCGGGCAATGTGCGAGGACAGCCTGCAGGGGTCAGAATTGTGCTTGGTGTGTCTGCATGTCTATATTGGTTGAAATTGCCTTAAAGTGCACTGCCATTGGCCTTCGCAACTCCATCTCGCACAACAAGCTCGATGCCACTTCCCAAAGTCCGGATGTGCTGCAGGCCTGGATGGAAGATAAGTAGCCTCAAAATCATGAGCTGGGGCACGTCTGCAAGGCGAGCAATTGACAGTAAATTCTTTGCGATCCCATCCCGCCCATGGTCCAAAATGTCCAAGGCAATATGTGTGCCAAAAAGCTCACGCCATCAGCCTGCACCTGCCAAAGCGCCATATCCCTCAACACACGCAGGGACAGTGGCCAGGTCGGCCAGGCATCCCGGTTGGCGTTCACGGCGTTCACGGTGCCAAGTAGCAGGTTGCAGCTCAGCAAATCCAGGGTAACCAGTGGAGTGAGCCCAAATGCCATCTCCCATCGAAGGTTTTGGAGGCAACTGGACACGCTGAACAGGTCGGCTTGCAGGGATGAAATTGGCATATGGCCTGGATGGATCGATGGATCTGAATGGGATGACTTATGGGATTCGATGATGGGAATCGGATAGACTGTGGAAAGCTCACCCCATGTGTCATGGCGTTTTGGTCCGTTCGGGCGACTCAGATTTTGCCATGCTTGATCTTTGCTGTTGGCCGTGGACACTAATCACTTACAACACCTTGCAACACTGAAGGAAAGTGGAGGAAACAAAGGGAAATGCAAGGGTATCGAAAACAAACATGCTGTATAGGTGATGGTGATACCAATGGAAAAGTGTCTTCAAGTAATGATGGAGGATACATTTCTAGAAATCAACAGCAATTGAAACCTGGAGAGTAATTTAGAAAACAAGAAGTACAAAAGAGTTGAACAAGACATACAGACGGAAAAAACATGAAAAAACAAGCTAAGCGAAATGGCAACTAGGTATGGGATGGTATGGGTCATATTACCTGCATCCGTCCCCATCTGGTAAGATGACTGTGAACAGTTGTAGCATAAACATATATAAACATGCCCAAATCATCCCAAATCTGGAATTAAGACGTGACACGACCTCTGAACCCTCTGACATGTGCTGCAACCAGGGCAAGATGCCTAAGAGTTTCACGGCCGCTGTCCAGGTGTTCTTACTGGTGCTCAGCAACGTGTTCCAGCTCACTCGATCCGCTTCTAGCCTTCAAAGTAAGCAGGGGTGGCCAAAACAAAGGAGGAAACGCCTTCATGGCCTTTCCCCAGCCTTCTCTAATCTAATTGTTGAACCATGTTGAACCACAGGAGGTGCAAGAACGGAAAACCCCGGAATCCCCGGAGCATGCCCAGCGGCTGAAGCTGTCCCATCTGCTGAAGGAGTACCATTCCGCGCTGCCAGCACTGCCCATCGGTACCAAGCGGTCCATTGAAGCTAGTCCTACAGCATAACACAAAGACACACGAAGTGGCGCCATCAATGTCAAGTATTCACATGCATTGAGCATCATTAGCCTCATGACCGAACACCCAGCTAAAAGCGCTAGAATCCGCTAGAAGATACAATGTGGGGTATGGCCGAGACTCTCATCCGGTCTCACATTGGATCGGGTGCAGCCACCTGGGCGTGGCCCAGAGCGAGAGGGAACGGCGAAAAACAAATCAACCAGTCAACCAGGGCAAACATCGCCATACACCCACTCTGAGACTCTGCCACAATTTCATACATCTCTAGTGCGAGCGAAGCTGCTCAAAACGTGCATAGACAGTTGCCACTGATGAGCTGCCTGATGGGCTGCGATGGCCTCAAATCAAGAGGGCCCTGGCCCAATTGGAAGTGCAAGATGAAATCTGTGTCACTCTTGACTGCTGAACTAAGAAGGTGGCTGTGTTGCAGTGTATGACCGAGGGCTCAAAGCGGAAGAACGGCAGCTGCAAGGATAAGCTCCACAAGCTCACTCTCGAGAGGGAAGCGGATACACCCACAAGCATGCTCCTTGGACTGGGTGTGGAAGAGAGTGCTCATAACTACTCCATAAGCTCCATATCCCACCCCCAATTGGGGATGACATGGCATGAGAGGCGCATTCATTTGTTTAATGCAGCCAGATGTCTCCGACTTGGCCAGTTCAAGGGCAACCTGCCAACATCCACATAGCGCCTGCAGGTTGCGGGTGCCATGATGGTGGCTATTGGTAGCTGCTTAATTGAATCTAGTTATGCTTAAAGGCTTAATTAATTACTCTTCGTGATCAGACTCCATCATCTCTATCCAGTCTTGGTCATCTCCATCCAGTCTTGGTCTTCAATACTATCAACCCTGAATCAACACCAATGGCCAATGGCGCTAAGTTGCCTGGCTGGTGACCCACTCTGGCTCGTCCAAGCACTCGATCATTTGCAAGGCGCTTTGCCACACAGCTGGATCCTGTGCGAAGGGAGGAGCAATCTCGCTTCAAAAACGACTGGCTTCTAACTTGACCATGACCTTTTTACATCGTCTCAAATCCCCCAAAAATGATTCATCTTATGCTGCAACATCATATATTGACTCTGCTGCAACTGCTGCACAATGTCCCGCCATGTCCCACCCACCTTGAAGGTGCTTGCGGAGGTTAAACATATCTGGTTTGGCTGCATGGCGCTCTGCGTCATCACATGTATCAATCTGGATGCCACTGGCCAAGCTCCCGCTGCGCAGGTCTTGAGGACCTGAACTGCGCAGGTGTTGGAAAGAGTATGGCACTGCACTCCTGTGACATAGATACTGTAGATAAATAGATATACACATAGAGATACTAGATATGGAGATAAATGCAAAGATTTAGATTTAGATGTTTAGACATAGATATACAAGTACAATGATATATATATATTACATCATATTACATCATATTACATCATATTACATCATACTACATCATATTACATCATATTACATCATATTACATCATATTACATCATATTACATCATATTACATCATATTACATCATATTACCATATTAGTTATACTAGATAATGATACATAAGATACAAATAGCATTGTATAATGCAGAGATATGCAGAGCAATATACACTACTAATACCCACGCCTCTTTGGCCTGACATGGACATGGCAATAAGCTGTTGTGAAAGTATGTGAAAGTTACCTTGATTGGTGGCATGCTTTGACTGCCCTGAGCTTCAGGACAGAGCCAAAAGAGGTGCAACTCAGCCGATGTTGGTGTTTTAGAGCGATCTGCAGCAGCTGCATTGCGCGCAGCCAACTTTCACTGCAAGCGTGAAGCGCTGCATTTTGCGTGACCAAACTTTGCTGAACCTGGGCGGGAACTGAAATGACACCTTCCTTCCCGCTGGGACCCAGGGGCCCTGCCTGGGCAGCTCGCACCGATTCCCTGAACTGCAAAGCAACTCGCCAGCTAGCCTGCCATTTGAAACCACTAATCGAATGTGACATAGTTTGACAATAGCTATAGCCTATAGCTATAGCATGTTATATTATACGAGTCTATACAGTTATAATATGTTATAATACCTGTACCAGCTGTGACTGTGAGATGGGAATGCTGTGGAGATCTGTGGGGGGTGGATCTCAGATTGCAAAGCATCCAAAGCATCCAAAGCTGCAAGCCTGAGCCATCAGGGAAGAGGAACCGAACTCATCCAAGCGCACTTGCTGCATGCGCATGGTGCCCAAAAGGGCAATGCCTTTGGACCAAGTTTTGGATGACAGCCCAATGTTGAAGCCAACCTGCATTGCAAGCAACCACAGGATACAAATGGATCAATACATATCAATACCATTCTAAACCACGAGCATTCCGTCACATTTGAAAGCGTGACTGTCAGGCCAAAAGGACCTTTGGATGACTTGGCACACTCTGTTTCTACGTGTGTTGCAGCAGAGGATGTGAGATCAGCCTGTGTGTCTCTCCCTCTCTCTCTCTCTCTCACTCACTCTCTCTCTCTCACTCACTCTCTCTCTCTCTCACTCTCTCTCTCTCTCTTTTTCTCTCTCTCTCTCTCTCTCGTTCTCTCTCTCTCTGGTGTATCGGTGTATCGGTGCCAAAAACGCTTATAGTGGACCCCAATCCCAAACGGTATATCTTCCGATGATTATACATGATGGCAAGTGCTTGTACTCTCTGCAGTTGAAAGGCCACATCTGATTGCACCCCGCAGCTGCGAGCGTCATCAGTCAGCCATGCCGAGCAAAGAGCGGAGTTCCAGTGACGAGACTTCCGAATGGCCACTGCACATGCATTGAAGCTAGAACTGGCCAAACGCACTGTCCAGCTGTGCCTCACAACTCAAAAAGCCAAGCTGTCCAAATCTCTTGCAATCCATCTTGGTTCTATTTGGTGAAGAGTGTTCCAATGTTTGAAGAATTCAGCATGATTCAATCAATCAGAACATGCACTTTATATCACTTGATCACTTTTGCATCTGAAGCACTATGCAGCAAGCAGACCAATCAAGGTAGCCACATCGAAGAGTTCAAACAAAGATAAACAAAGTCTAGGCTAGAGCCGCTCGCTCGCAGTCTCAACACAGGCAAGAAGCATGAGTGAAAGCACATACATTGCCGTCCGCCATCGTGTCTGGCATGCATTAATGGCAACGCCACAATGAAAATGATCCACCTGTACCCGAACAGCCTTAATCATTTCAATCATCTGTACCACAGCCATTGGCCAGGAAGACAGTTGCTTCAAGGCGTTCATGGCCAGCTTTGGTTCGGCCCGCCATTCTTCCAGGAAGGGCATCGCCTCACTTCCTCTATTTTCCTCGCCGATCAGCCTGCATCCAGATCTGCCAAATGTCGCCTTCACTTTGCACTGCCTTCCTTTATGATCTTCATGCTGCACATGTGAAGCTGGCAAAAAGGACGCCACTGCTCCACGGTCGCGACATATCATTCACAGCCTTGACAACCTTGCCTGAGGAGAGCAATACACCAAGCGGCATTCCACTCAGTTTGGGGAAGATGTGGAAGGTATAGATAGATATAGTATATAGGCGTGTGTATACGTGTATATATATAATTATATATATATAATTATATATATATATAATTATATATATAGTACATCCCCCCATCCCCCGCGGAGTGTGAGCATCATGTGTGTGTGAGGATTGCAGGGATTTCATATTGAATATTTCGCCCTGAAGTTGAGATCAACCTGCCATAACCATCCATAACCTACCACTGAAAGGTGTTGAAGCAATTTGAAGCGTACCCGCCTGGCATGTCTGCATGGGCTGCTCCCTGAACGTCGCCTATGGCTTCCAAAACATGGATCCATCTCTCGCAGCAGTCCAGCAGGTTGCTTTGCCCATAGCAGCTTGCATTACATGTGGGCCACGAGGCCGCCGAACTAAGTGCAGCCTGTTTTTGTGCATGTGAGGTCTTTAAACAAAGAACTTTAGGAAATTCAAGAATGCAACTTGACATCCTTTGAGTCCAGGTCAGGAGTGGAATCTGGCTGCGAAAGATACAAATGCTGAATGCTGCCCAAAAACGATCAAAAACTATTCAACGCAAAGAGCTTCATTGCTTGGTGCCAGACCCATTGAGATCCACGCTCACATGCGCTGACCTTGAGCACGGCCCAAGGCTCAGAGGGTCTCACAAATCTCGGATGCTGATCTCGTGGACAAAAATTAAAACCCATTGGATGAATTCCATCATATGATGCCCATTAATGTCCTAATATATAATGTGTAATATATTATGTGCTGTGCCTGATTGCTAAGGAAGTGCCTTCTCATCCTGGTCAAGCGACATATACATATAATCATATACATATAATATAATCATATAGAGAGAGAGGGAGAGAGAGTGAAATGGTGTGAAATGGTGTGAAATGGTGTGAAATGGTGTGAAATGGTGTGAAATGGTGTGAAATGGTGTGAAATGGTGTGAAATGGTGTGAAATGGTGTGAAATGGTGTGAAATGGTTAAGTTGAGTTGGTGACCACGGAGGTATGGCAAATGTCGTCAGGCACCTGGCTGACACAGAACATGATCAGTGCAACAAAAGGATCTTGCCATATCTTGCCAATGTGTTAAATCATGTTCGATCATGTTCAATAATGTTCAATTGCTCTGCACAGCAAGGGATGCCTGGAAGTTGTCTGCCCGGCGTGCCGCATACTCGGAATACAAAGAGATAGCCTGGCATGCAGGAGAACCAGATTGCTTTTCGATACGAGGCCACAAAAGGCGCATGTGGATGCATTTGGATGCATTGGGTACGTTTGATCAGTGCACGCCTCTACCACAGGGGGCATCAGTACACGTAAAAAATGGATTTGCAATAGTGTGAGAATGTTTGAAAAAGATTGAAATAGATGTAACAGAGTACCATAGATTCGTAGCAGCTTTGAACATTTGGATATTTTTGGTGCCTGATGGTGCCTGTTTTGAACCGCCATCTCCGGCCCAGGCCATAAATGCGCTGAAGCCTATCAAATCTGTCCTGATTTGCTACGAATACTGAGTACTGAGTACTGTACAGTAGCAGCATGTAGCAGCACAGTCTCTTTGGCATTGCGGGCTGTGCATGCTGATGCCACAAATGCCATGGTCATCGTCGATATTTCGCTCATCGTGCTATGGAGACCATGGATCTGGCAAGTCTCGGTCAAGACTCAGGAAGACAGGTTGACAGCATCAACGAGATGGTCTTGCTCTCGGTTGGGCGAGCACCAAAGCAAAGACCAAAGTGCCTTCGTTCAGGAAGGGTTCAGGAGGACTGTGCTGCTGCGTCACCATTCGAATCTTATGTCACCTCCTTGATCGCAAATTGCAACCAACGCGTCTTGAGCTCTAGTCCACTGCTCCCCAAACAGCCGGAGACGTAGCCCGTGCAGGCCAAGCATTCGAACCTGGCCCACTTATGTCTGAACCACTTGGACCTTGTAAATGCATGCATGCATGGCATTGATTGAATGTCTATAAAATTTTAAAAATGATCCGAACAATCGAGAAAAAATATGCAACGGAAGGAACACAGTCGAAACAGAGCACAGTTGCAGCATGCGGCATGTTGCAACATGTTGCAACTCAGAGACCTGAATGGTGGAAATCGACTGAGGGCGCGTGCAAGCACTGCCAGTTGGGCCTGTCCACATTCTCTCTGTTCCACATTGGGTGGCGGCTGTCCCAGTCTTGCGGTGTGTCATCTAGTGATGGCAGCTCATCGGTGCCAGTGCTATAGTCAGAGTAAGTTGCCTTTTCAACTTGCCGAGTCAGCTCTTTCTGTTGAGAATGCCGTATTGTTGACCAACACTTCCAACAATCTTCGCAAAGATACTTCCCCTCCATCTTTGAACCAGGCTCGCCCTTGTGGCCATTCCGCAATCGATTGCACTGATTGCAAATGTAGGGACTACTTGCCTGCTCAATCCTTTCATCCACACCATGGCCATCAAACCATCGCGCAGCACGCCGTTGCCGCTTCAGTTGCTGCTTTGCTCTCCGAACGAGCTCGGAACTGACAAAGGTCGGATCCAGCTGGGATGCCGTCTTCAGATCACACAGCGCTAGTGCGGGTTCGCTTGACATCCTGATGCGAGCTCGCAGCACCAAATTCTTTGACCGGAAGCGACACTTCACCAGTGCATCAGCTGATTCTTTGGCTGGGAGGCCCAAGCGGTGCTCGCAAATGCAAAGCAGTCTTAGAGTTTCTTCATTGAAACGCTCCAATGGCGCGGGCGTGTTGCAAAGACTGCGTAGCTTCAAGAGCGCCAGTAAGAAACGCTTTTGTTTGATCAACAATTTTGCATGTTGCAGTACCTCCTGTAGACCCTCGAGGGAACTTCCTGCCGATGCTTTGGAGCGAGAGATCATCCAAATGCGGAGGTACAAAGGCAGATTTGGTTCAGCCAAATCCCATGTGCGAAAAGAAAGCTTCTGACAGCAAACTTCACAGGACTGGCCCGGCTGGAGGCGCAGCAAGGCTATTTCCACTATGTCGGGCAAAGTTCCACTTCCTTGCACACATCCTTTCACGGAGTGATGGGGAACAACAACTCGACCAACACAATCCCTCACTTCCATCTCCAGGGAGACTTCTGCCTTCCACCACTCGAGGGACAGAACTTGCTTCGCATCTTTTTGGGCTTTGCACCAGCTGGGACGGCGCATGGTCAGTCCGCTTCCAGTGATCTCCAACGCTTCTTGCCAAAGATGCACTACCTCGGTGGATCTCAGTGGTTTCTCAGTGGTGTCTAGCCATACTCAAAACACATCCCACTAAGTCACTAGGTCACTAAGTCACTAAGACTCGAATGATCGACGTGCTGATCCTGTCCAAACCTGAGTCTCTCAAGGGCAAGTGATGGCAAGTTGCTGGACTCGACTTGACTTCCAGGACTTGGATGCTTACACAATACCTCTCCACATCAACCCTCTCGTAGCCGTTTTTGAACATCCAGGTCGCGGTAGGTCTACAAATCGATTCTTCCATACTGACCGCATTGACGATAAAGGTTGCCTGATCGTGAAACATCATGAAATTTCATGGGCTGAAGAGAATCATCACTGGGGGGAACTATAAAAAAGATATGAAGGGGGTTGATTAACACAAAGCAAAGGAGCAAGATTGCAGCAACAGGTGCGGTCTCTGGTGTCTCTAGGCCCACACGTCGTGGGGCATGAGCTTTCAAATTGATCGCTGCAGCACATTCGACATCATTCAACCATACCCTGCATATCCCTGCATATCCCAATTTCCAGTCGACAGGCCAGCCTTCTCGTGGGCTTGCATCGATCCCAAAGCTGCATCCCCAAATCTTCTTGACAGAAAATTCCCAGATCCAAGAGTGTACCTGAGCCCATGGACGCCATGGAATACAATACATACCATGACAGCGGGGGATACTTGCAACATCTGGTAAAATGTTGTAACGCTTGTGCCGACTTGTGTCTGAACTCTTTCCATCTTGCAACCGGCTGCCACGGCACACACTGCTTCTGCCACTCGCTGGAGACCTTGATATATTTGAAGGTTGTAAGGACGCGCTTACGCGTGGCTCACGCGTTGTTTACGGCGCTGAAGATTTTGCTTGCTTGCGACATCTTGAGACATTGCCTCATGCTACACAGCACTTACTCCACTGCACTTTTGGCATATGCGGACCGCCTGATTGCTTCACAATCTTCATAATACATATTGGATCATGTGTATATATATATATATGTGTGTGTGTATGTATGTATGTATGTATGTATGTGTATGGATGTATGTATATATATACACGCGCAACGCCTGGGCTTTGCCCCAGCATTGCAGCGTAGAGGGTTCCCAATCCCAATCAAATATTGTTGCTGGGAAGATCAACAAAGGTATTAGGGAATATTAAAAACCCACCCCCGCTAAACTTTACATTCAATTGCGGCTCAGGCATTTGCAGTATATATATATATGTGTGTGTGTGCGTGTATGTATGTATGTATGTATGTATGTATGTATGTATGTATGTATGTATGTATGATGCGGGCTACCCTGGGTAAAATCACTAGGGTGACCCCCCAAAATAATTTTTCAGAATTATTCTGAGGTGCTTCAGTACATAACCCACTACAAAATAGTTTTTTCCAAAACACTCTAACCATCCCAAAATAATATCCTTTATCACTACCCACCTCCTCAAAATAATTTCTGAAAATTTGCAAATAAATTATTTTGTAGGGTTCTACTATTACTCAAAACCACTTCCCTTAGTTCAAAATAATTTTGGAAATTATTTCAAGGTGGTTTAAGATGGTTTTGGATGATTGAAAAAACAAGTAGAACCACCTCAAAATAAATAGCAAAAATCCCCACAAAATTATTTTGGGGGGTCACCCTACCTATCCTCCCGAATGCACCCGACAAGCATTGTCGGAATTTCATGATTTAGACCATCGATTTTTGGACAAAGAAATCTGAATCGACCCCTTCCTACCCCATAAATTATTTTGGGGGTGGTTAACTACTAAACCACCCCAGAAATAATAATAGCCTAAACTGGCAAAATTAACTTCCCATTGAGTAGTTCAAAATCCAAATTGCCTCGAACAGACAAACCCTGAGATTTACCATGAATTACTTGCTGAACTAATTATTTTTTAGAACATCGACTTAGCATCGGCTTTTGGGCAAAGAAACCTGAATCGATTCCTCTCTCCCCAAAAATTATTTTGGGGGTGGTTAACTACTAGACCACCCCAGAAATCCAAAATAACCTAACCTTGCAAAACTCAACTTCCCTGGAATAGGTCAAAAATGCCAAACCTGATCCAAATTGACCCAAACTGTCTGAAAGAATCAAACCATGAGAACCTAATTATTTTGGGGGTGGTTAACTACTAAACCACCTATGATTTAGACCATCGATTTTTGGACAAAGAAATCTGAATCGACCCCTTCCTACCCCATAAATTATTTTGGGGGTGGTTAACTACTAAACCACCCCAGAAATAATAATAGCCTAAACTGGCAAAATTAACTTCCCATTGAGTAGTTCAAAATCCAAATTGCCTCGAACAGACAAACCCTGAGATTTACCATGAATTACTTGCTGAACTAATTATTTTTTAGAACATCGACTTAGCATCGGCTTTTGGGCAAAGAAACCTGAATCGATTCCTCTCTCCCCAAAAATTATTTTGGGGGTTGTTAACTACTAGACCACCCCAGAAATCCAAAAAAACCTAACCTTGCAAAACTCAACTTCCCTGGGATGTGTTGGGATTGACGGGATGTGGCTTGAATGAAGTTGGAAATGGCTGCAGATTGATTCAAAGAATATCCTGACTGAACATGTTGAAATATGTAGTTGAAATTTGATGTAATATGCTGAAATTATTTTGCAGGTGGTTTGCAAGTACCCCCACCCCATGAAATAATTTTCATCATGGGTGTCTGGTAATTATTTTATACAGTTGGAACTATATGAAATAATTTCCCCAGTTCAACTGAGAAATTATTTTGAGGTGCCTTAAGTTGTTTGTTTAGAATTATTTCAAGGTGCTTCAACCTCTGTAGGTGGAAAATTATTTTGCACCATCAGCAAGGTACGGGTGCAAAAATTATTTTGCTATGGCTCTTGTCGGGTGATTTTAACATAAAATTTATGTTAAAAATGGAAATTATTTAAAAAAAAATATTTTGGAACCAACCCCCACCTCAAAATAATTTCCTAAGGTAGGACGCATTATGTATGTATGTATGTATGTATGCATGCGTGTATGCGTGTATGCCTGTCTGCATGTCTGCATGTCTGTATGTCTGTATGTCTGTGTGTACGTGTGTGCGTGTGTGCGTGTGTATGTCTGTATGTCTGTATGTCTGTATGTCTGTGTGTACGTGTGTACGTGTGTGCGTGTGTATGTCTGTATGTCTGTATGTCTGTATGTCTGTATGTCTGTATGTCTGTATGTCTGTATGTCTGTATGTCTGTATGTCTGTATGTCTGTATGTATGCCCGTATTTATGCCCGTATGTATGCCCGTATGTATGCCCGTATGTATGTATGTATGTATGAATGTCTGTATGTCTGTATGTCTGTATGTCTGTATGTCTGTATGTCTGTATGTCTGTGTGTGTGTGTCTGTGTGTACGTGTGTGTGCGTGTGTATGTGTGTGTGTGTGCGTGTGTATGTGTGTATGTGTGTGTGTGTCTGTGTGTGTATATGTGTGCATGTGTGTGTGTGTATGTCTGTATGTCTGTATGTCTGTATGTCTGTATGTCTGTCTGTCTGTATGTATGTATGTATGTATGAATGTATATTTTCAGATACATATCTTTCCATCTGTCTGTCTGTCCATCTATCTATCTATCTCTAACTGTATGTGATATATATATATACAGCACAGTAATATACAGTAATATTGTGCAAATATTGGGTTTATCTCATGGCATCTCATGGCCCTGTCTTGGGAGCCGCCAGGTTGCTGGACAGAGAACTCGCTGCAAATCCAGCTCGGCTCTGCAGCGCCCTGATGAAACTCTGCAAAGAGGATGTTGATGGTTGCTTCATCGCCCCATGCTGGAGTCAAACCATGCCCCTTTTCCTGTCAAATGTTGCAATATGTTACCTATGTTGCAATGTTGTACGTCTGAACTCAGACTTCAGCACAACTGGCACTGAGATGAACTAAGTGCATCTACGCAAGCTCCAAACACCATAGATATTGGCTTGGTGCTAGCTCTTTGTCTTCCTGAATTTGTTGGTGGCTTTCCGTCCTGGACATGTTTCAGCACAGAGCCGTCCCCGAGCAAATCATGGCCGCTCTGACACTGCGCCCCCAAACTTTGCAGACCATTCAGTGATACCATCGCATTTCCTGGCAAACATAGCACAACTCCAATCTTCCGATCGGGCCAAAATGGCATCACAGGCTGCAGCATCCCCGGTCCACTGAGTTTCATAGACTTACAGTACTGCTTTTGTGTGCAAATGTGATCATCCTCTCTCAGTGTCACACTGGACCTTCACTGACATGACACTTTTCTTGCTGGCATCTGTCTGACCCTTAAGTCCCATCGATATCGAACATCAGGTGTGGACATCTTAACATCTATGAATCATAAATTCTTCTTACAACTCTAGGATCTCTAGGTGTTGTAAGTTAAGATAAGTTAAGTCATAGTTGGTCTCAACCTGGTCTATCAGACTATCACGGTCATTCACAGCCTACGTTTGCCACGGCAATATTTCCTTTGCACCAGCACCGCCAGCACCGATCTCAACATACCCAGAGACAAGGTCAGATCGGGCATCCAGCCCTCCCAGCCGTCCCAGCCGTCCCAGCCGTCCCCTGCATGCCGAGTCTCTCAGGCCTCGTTCCAGTGTGTAAGTCTCCCCAAAGCGGTAATTGCGGCTGTGTAGTCGCGTGCCTTGGAGTTGGCCACGGTGGGGATTGGGGATTCGGAATGATTCGGATGGATTCGGGATGCTGAGTGTTTCGGTTTTAAGATGTTTTAAGATGTTTTATGATGTTTTATGGCTCTTTTTGAGCAATGCCGGTTGTGTAAACCACATGCGGTCCAGCGCGAAGCGCTTCTTTTTTTCCACAACCACTTGGAGACCACCGGGATTCATCCTTACAGACTCGACTTCCATAGCCGTGCTGCGAGATCGGTCCTTTAAGTTTGCAGTTCAGGGAGGTCAGGCTTTCAGCCGTTCGAGATCCAGGCGCAACTTTGGCGTCTTGACTAGCGGCACCTGCCTTCACATGGTCACTGGATGTCCGACTTTACTTAGAAAGCCCATAGCTTCTCAATCTTTCACTGAAAATCTACCAGTTCAAGGGCTTATAGACTATATAGTAGATGAACATCATGAACCAGAGCCAGAGGACTCATCATCTGACCCAGCAAGCATTGCCATAGGACCCAGTGACTTCACATCCAATACCTTTGGTTTTTTTTCTGGTGGTGCTTCTGAGGAAGATGTAGAGGAGCTTTCCCAAGCAAACCTTTGACCATCAGGTGGATCCTCCACATCCTCCTCTTCTACCCGTTTCTTCGCCTCACTCCTGAGGTCTCTCTGTGGGACTTCTTGGCGTTGCAGTGTTGGAACGGGCTTTCCTTCATCCTTGCCTTTCTTTTCTTTCTTGTTCTTTTTATCCTTTTTGTCCTTCTTGTCTTTTTTCTTATCCTTCTTACTCTTTTTGTCCTTCTTCTTGTCCTTTTTTCCTTTCTTGTCTTTTTTCTTTTGCATCTTTTCGGCCGCTTTCCTTGCGAGCTTCTCAAGCTTCTCGAGTTTCGAGGCTTCTTTCTGCTCAATCCCTGCAACTGCGGCTTCAGAAGCCACCACCGACCAATCCACTCGATAGGACTTCTCAGTCTGGCCCTGGTAGTCCCCACCTGCCACTGAAGACACTGAAAGCCGCTTTTCCCCATAGAGTTCGGTCATCAATTTGCTGATTACACGCTCTTGATCTGCCTTCTGGCAACATTCCATCTGTGCATAAACACCACGAGTTGGGGACCAGCACAGACTACAAGTCTTCAAGCTGGCGGAACACCAATCCGTGACATACTGTGCAAAATGGGCCAAGTCCCTGAAACTGTTGACCTTTTTATCGAAGTTGTCAGCATAGCACAGGAACGCCGCATCCGCATCACGTCTGAAAGCGTCCACCAAGCCTTCTGGCTTGTACAGGGGCAAGTGGCTCCCTTGCCCAGTCCAACTCTTAACCTTTAGAGTCGACTTGCCTCGATTGCAAAGAAAACCTGAAAAAGAAAAAAACGCAATTAAGATCAATTAAGTCCCCAAAGCATTGTAATCAGAGCCGTTAGCGGAACTACAGTAACTACAGCACGTAGATGTTTGATCGCATATCACAGAAAGTGTAGAAACAGCAGTAACTTCATCATTGCCAAGTTGCTGCTTGAGAATTCAATCTCCACATTGAGTGGTTGCCTTGCTGAATCCACACGGATCAAGGCGCACACCACCTGCAGCTTCCATGGCCATGTTGCGAAAATGACGATCAAGCTGGGAAATCAAAGGCTCAAAAGAACATTCAACCAGAAGGGGAATCTAGGTAGTTATAGAATATAGATTAAAAAAATATGAACCATTGTTATGCAATATTATATAATCTTATTGTAAATCGATGTAATTCTATGATTCTATGTGTTTCGAATTGTTTCGATGTATTCCGTTGAAAGTTGATTGGTCCTTCAATTCTCCAAGGGCCTCCCAAGGGCCTCCCAAGGGCCTCCCAAGGGCCTCCCAAGGGCCTCCCAAGGGCCTCCCTGCCTCTCCATACAGACCAAACTCTCGGCGCAAAGCTCGGAGCCCCAGGGTCTCCGCACCCTCCATCACACGGAATTGTACTCTTGGCTTCCCAGGAGCCATGGCGCTCTAATCACTCTAATCGCTGAAACTTCGATGTGAAAAGTTCATCAAAGTTTATGACATGATGTTCGAAGTGTTTCAGTGATCATCAGTGTCATCAGTGGTCATGATGTATTTACCAACTTTTGCTGGAAAGCCTATATACGTGTGAGTGCTTGGTACTTCGTTTCAGACAGTGTTGCTGGGCTTCGGTGTGTGATTTTGAGGTGTGTCTGAGACAGCTTGGCATGCAGCATGTGCTCCTGCAAGGGACGAATCAGTTCATACTAACAAAATGTAGCAGGTGGTAGCATCAAGGCATGCGACATCCAAGGATGTCAATAATGTCAGTGTTACAGCACGGAGGCTCGTAATGAGCTTTGCGTCTCTTCCAGACTTCCGAGACCAAGGCATTCCCCAGGAGAGCCTGGCAGGAGTTGCACTGCCCATGGTCCTTGGATGTCCTGATATGTCCTGATACGGGATTTTGCTGCCGCATGCTGCCGCGTTGTGCCGTGTTTCCATGTCGTGTTTCCTTCCTCGTCCCTCAACTGGGCCACAGTTCCCCGAACGACGTCTTTCGATGCGTTCTTGTCCTTCAGCCTGGGCCATGGTCAACATCATCTCAAGGCTGCAAGTGAATCGAAATCATCGAATAACATGCCAGCAACACCGAAGCAAAAGCTCCGTTCTCCATCGAACCCTGGCTGCAGCAGCAGCGCATCTGGGTATGTGGATGAATCTGGATGCATAGCTTTGCCATTTTTGCATATTTTTGCCACCTGTCTGCGGGTTTAAATACCTTAAAGTAATATAAAGTAATGAAGCCTTGTCACCAGCCTAGTTGGTTGATGTTGGTTGCTGGTCTGCCGAGTACGCATACATAAGTTGCTACGGTAGCAATGGCGTGAGATTTCAGTGGCAGCCAACTGATTTCAATAGTGAAGAGGCGAATCTATGGATCAAGATTCAGGATGATTCATTTCAGGTGGTGTAGGCTGACCCCATCTTAAGAGTGACTGGAATGAACATGAATGAACACACTTGCTGAGCTTTCTGTAATCGACTCCGCAAATTGCCTCTGACTCTGACCAAGCCGAGACATTCATGGCCAGCGCTCACACAGGGTTCGATGTTTTGTGCAGGAGGCTCCCGGTGATGCAAACAAAGGGTTCGGGATGGTCGCCCCAGAAAAAAGACGCCGTGCGATAAGTCCTACTGTAGAATCTCCTCGAAGATCTAGAAATGCACATTGTCAGGCACATTATGCAGAATCAATGGCAGAATCAAGAAGATGCGCCGAGTAAAAACTGCAACAGAGCTCACATTTAAAATGACTTATTGGAGTGCTGAAGTTTAGGTGACTAATCTCAGGTCAGGTCACACAAGAAGCCCACACAACCGAATGGATAAGGCTAGAAGGCCAAATGCACTTGAACAATATTGAAGAGGGCAGCGGAGCGGAGTCTGTCAAATCGACATGCCTACTCAACCTCACTTCCGCAATCCGCAATCAGGCCAAGGAACTTTTACGTGGGAAACTCCCTGGATTTCAGGATGTGCAGGGTTGTGGGATTGATGTTGTGAGCTCTTTCATGGCTCTTCTAGCCCCAATCCCAACAACGCATCACGAAATAAACTTCCGCCCAGCTTTTGAATCCTTGTGCCTTTACGTTTGGTCTTTTAGAGTCTTTGGCTTCCGTGCTGATTGCTTTGAAAGCACAGAAATCAGCTGAAGCTGCAAGGCTTGGATAGCCAAGTGACCAAGAGGAATAAAATGAAATAAAGCTATCCTAACGAACCAATTTCACTGGAAAATGATGTATGCGTCACTTCACAGCGATCTAGTCCTTCATTGGAAGCAATAGCGGCTCTTTAGAAATCAAGCAATTTCTGACATTCAATGACTAAGATGCGACTAGATCATGGTTTATACTCAGTGACAGGAACTAAGCATATCGTTCTCTGCATCCGCGGTGAAGCACGGCCATACATCGGCTACACGTTTTCAATTTTCAAGTTGAAAAGAAATATACCCGAGGAATCCGCGCGACGCCTCACCGGATATTCAGCTCCGTTGGCCCTGCTCCTGCACCTGCATGCAAAGCAACACCGACAGCCAAAATATTGTTTCCCCCTTGCATCAAGATCCACTTGGCTCTTTGAACGTACCCATGACGATGCATCACTGGAAAACATAACCATTGAGATCAGACGTTGGCGGAGTGCCACCGCAGTGTCAGATCTCTCATCAAATGGCTAACCCAAAAGGGTCGTCACTTCTCAGTGTTCGGTGCAGCATCTTGTATTCTGCATGTTCAAGGGATTCAAAAGCTGTGCTTGCATATGCTTGCATGCGTATATGTGTGTGTGTGCGTGTGCGACTGTCTGCTTTTTGCATCCCAACTCTCTATCTCTCTCTCTCTATCTCTCTCTCTCTCTCATGGTTTCCTCCCCCCATGGCCCGGCTTCATGTTGAAGATGCCCCAATGTTGCAACTACAGAAACTTTGTAAGGGTTGTGTCTTTGGTATGTGCCCTTCGTATGGCGCCAAAGAAAATGCCGCACAAAACACGAGAAATGCTTTTCAATAGGGGAGCATAACATGTATGATACATGTATGTACATATAGAGAGAGAGAGAGTACAATATAATACAGTGACAAATAGAACCATGAGCAGCGCATGGAGCCTCCAGCAACATTACGTCGAGGGAGGTTGGAGTGAAGGTGATCTTCGACTCGGGCAGTCCTTGATCAAACAAAGGATGCTAAAAGATGGTAAAAGATGGTAAAAAATAGTAAAAAATGGTAAAAGAACCCAGATCGAAGGACTATCTGTAATGTTCCAAACTGTTACGAGCAAATGCAGCAAGTGTTGATTCAGTGTTCGTGTTGATGACTGATGACTCCTTCTTTTCCCAGCCATGCTGAGCTGCCAGGGTGAAACAAAACCGCAGGAAGTCATGGGTCCTTTCTCACATTAGCGGGGGTCCAACAAGGAACGCAACCCCAACCAGCGATCCACAGGAGCGACTGTTTCTGGCATGATGTTAGACTCCTTTGAAGCCTTTGAGCCCCGCAACTTGCTTCGCTCCAATTTCCGGCGTCGTTTGGCGCTGCGCCTGGCAGACTTGGTTTCTTCCTCAGCACTGGGGATTGACCCTGGATCGGGTACGTATGGTACTGGTACATCAGATTCTGGAGCTTGGAACACCTCTGTAGATTCTGGATCCGCAGATGCTGAAAAAAGGGTACGCACCAAAGAGGCTCGAGCTCGACCTGATTTGAGGCCAAGTTGCTTCACCATGCGGTTGGCTCGACTCAGCTCTTGGCAAATGGCACCTTCCCAAACATCGATGCGCAAACATCGAGCTGCGTTCTCCTGAGGAGAGAACGGCACTTCCACAACAAGCGGATGGAAACGACCAGTCCGTTGCTGCGCAGTTGCAGAGCCGATGGAAATTGCACAGTTTTGCAACTTGGGGAGTTCTTCAGTTGCCCACTCGAAGAACTCTGCGAAGAGGTGAACAAGCTCTTTCTCTGACGCTACCACTTCCAGCCCCAAGGGTTGCGGGCAGCAGTTCTCAGGATTTGCTGGCTTGGCCCTTGGCCCCGTCACTGACAGTTGCGAAGGCAGTGAGCACTGATGCTTGCCGGACCTTTGCTGCAGGAAGAAAATGGTGAGCAACACCAAGGCGAAGCTGCTAAGCCCACCTTTCAAAGTGTTTGTGAGTTTCCGACGCTTTGCCCACAGCTTTACCAGTCGACATAAAGCTGCTGCAGTACCAGAGGATTGGTCCTCCTGCAGCACCGAATACACAGCGCGATCACAGGCACCTCTCAACAAACTGCCACCCACAGACACATCCACAACAACATTCCTTTCACCTTTTGCCCCACAATGCAAGCGGAGGACCGGCACTTTGGCAGAGAAAATCCTCAAAGCGATTCTGATTTCGTCCAGCTTTGCATCACTGAGGGCCTCAGCAAGTCGCTGCAAGCAATGGAGTGCCTGCCGGCGATTCACCACATCCTCTCCAATTTCACCTCTGCGTTTGGATCTGCTTGAGCCTTTTCCAGCCTTTGTAGCAGTTTTCTTTCCATTCTGAAGGCCGTTCTCTGCCAAAATGACAGCAATGTCCAAATCAGATCCGCGAAGGGCTAAGCCCTGAGCATAGGAGCCTTGTACCACCACCGCAGAGGTATCTCCCAGGAGTTGGCGAGCCAAAATCTGGACGTGCTCCAAACAGGTCTGCACGGCGTCCAATTGCACAGGATCTGGCAACGAAGATGTGAGCAAATCTCGGAGAGGCCCACCATGTCCAGCCTGAGACGCATCCTTCCGGTCCTTCCGAAAGTGTTTCTGAAAACTGGAATTCGGGATTGGTCGGGTTGGTCTCTTCTTCCATTTTTTCCCATCCTTCTTGGGATTCAGAATCGAGCTGTTCCTCAGCGGAGTTGGTTGCTTCATGCTTTGTCGGATGGCATCATGCCATTAAAGCATCTCATTCCTGCATGGCTTTCCTGCAAAAGGGAGTCTATGTCAGTATGTCAGTGTTGCACTGCCTGCCTGCCAATCAACTAATACACCTTGGCAACTAGTTCTCACTCAATGCTATCAAAATTCTGGCCAGAACAAATTATGATTATGTATGAGAAGGTGTGCCTTGGCCTTCAAAGACTCTTCAAAACCAGTTGTGCCTTGGCCTAACGGCATTTACTGGCTCCGTTCACAATCGAACTCAGTGCCACAAATGAATTGGGAGATTGAGCCGATTGATCAATCACAACTGGCTCCAAATCATGTGGCATATTGCAGCCGGTTGCAGTAGGATCTATTGATGATCTACTAGATTCTACTAGCCATGACTCACGCACACACGTCAAGAGAGGAGCGCTGACGAGGTGCCAAGCTCTTCAGGCTTGTCAGGCCGAAGCAAGCGCACCTGCAAGAGTTGCGGCTTCAGCTTGTCGCACATCTGAGCAAACTGAGCAAAACATTCGATAACATTCGTGTCATGCGCCGCCACCTTCACCATGTCGCCAGGCTGGTGCTCATCAAGCACTGCATAGATGTCGTTCCTGAACCATTTTGGACGTGGGGCCATCTGCTGATATGGGACTGCTCGGACTGCTTAGTTACAAGCCGAGCTAAGGTGCTTGCACGGTGGTGATGCGTCGGCTGTCTATTTCTTGAAGAATGTCGCCAGGCTTGACGCCTGCCTTCCATCTTGCAACTTCCCAGCCATCCCAACGCATCCCCATATGTATAGAATTAATATATATATATATATATTTATATGTATATATATGTGTGTGTGTGTACCAACATATCCCAACAAGAAAAAACAGTGCCCGCTAGCATCTGCTAGCATTTTTGCACGCTATGCTGGAAGTTTGAATGCAATCGACTGCTAGGAATTTCTGGGCCTTGCCAGCGGCACTGTTGATCTGCAATCCAGCTACCACACCTCCCGGCCGTCCTGCAACTGCAACTCCCAGCTAGTAGCAGCTAGTTACAAGATATAACAAGATATAACAAGAACCCAAGAAATGTCCAAGAATCGTTCTGGGAATCGTCCATATTTTCTGGTCAGTATGTCTGTGACTTGTTACAGTACTAGTAGTACCCTCCAGCCAAAAAGCTCCAAAATCTGGTGAAGTCACGAAGCGTGAAGCCCTACCCACCCTCGTTGAGCTGTTTAAAACAAGACGTCTGTCTCGCCATCCTGACAAGCGCTGTGCAAGGCCATCCTGACAGCGAAACAGGAATCTGAAGCTTTCCTACTTCAACTTCAAGCTTCTCCATCTGGTTTGAACAAAATCTAACAATATAATGTAATATAATATGCATATATAATCAAGATCAACAAGGCCGGCAGTACCCGGCAGCATCGTATGAAACAGCATCAACACAACAACTGTTTCACGTCTCAAACTCACTTGGCCGAACTGGATAAATCGTTTAATGACCTGAAGCATTCCGTGTCCCTGCAACTCTGCCTGTCCCAGGTAGAGGCCAAGTCCAGCCCTGCACACTCTTCACCAGGGACATGTGGCAGAACAAAATGCTACAACAAATGATCATAATCCGAATCCAAACATTAATTGCATAAATAAAGCATAATAAAGCATAATCTATTCGAATCTACAAGATGATCAGGTCCGTAAAATCACACCAGGGCACACAATCGTAATTCTTCATCCTACGCTAACTCCCTTGCTTGTTAACCAAGCCTCTTCACATAGCCAAACCTCGACAGCCGCTGATACACTAATCAAGAGCACACCGTGCAGCACGCCCCTACTTTATCATCATCCCTGGAGTGCTTCCTGGCATGTCCCCAAACAAGTTGGGCACCCTTGTGCCATTTTGCTGGGCATTCCGATTCATCTGGTCGTTTCACGATGTCCAGTGAGCCCATGTGCATTTCAAAAAAATCCAGAAAAGCATGTGCTGGGCCGCAGCGCTTTAAGATGCTCCCAACGCGTGCTGACACCGTGTCTTCCGGGATGGCGAAGCCAGTGCCAGTAGCACCAGCAATCACCGCTGTGTTCATTCCAATAACCTGTTTCAAAGACGACATGTGCGTCTGCTAGCATGGCCATGGTGTTCACTCTATCCAGTTCTGTCATGTCGGTACGTGTGCAACTCTCACTGTCACTGCTTTGATGAGCAAGCTCACCGATCCGATTGAACACGTTACTCGAGCAGAGCGGGTCGAGATCTAGCCCATCCACCATACTAATTAGTAGAATTGATCAATGCCCTAAAAGTAGCTTTACAAAGCTTTATGACTTTGTGACTCGAGGATACTCTAGGTCCAGGTACAGCATGCATGCACTTGTGCAAGCACCAACCTTGTGTGTGTGTGTGCATTTATATAGATTGACATGGGATGTCGTGGACAGAGATCCATAGATTCTAGATGGAGAAGTGATGATAGATGCACGGACATCTTGTGCTGGCACAATTTCATGCTGAGTACCATGACGTCGACCATGTGACTCGCACGGCAATTCTGACAAATCAAGAACAATGGACCTCGCATGCAAGGGGTGCTAGCTAATTACAATGGACCTTCAGTGCATGCTACCAGTACTACGAACCCAAATGTACCAGGTCAATTCATATACACTCCATTGACATTGACTTCCATCGTGTTGCGGTATGTTGCACTGCGTCATGTCGTATTATGTCGTATTCATAGTTCGATAATGTTCGACGTCTTCATACGTCTTCGTATTGCATCGCGGCGACTTGTGTCGTGGCGGCGTGTGGTAGAACATTGTAGCACAGGGCAAGGGAGGCACTTATGAACATGATGAACACATCCAGATTGACGTGCTTCGACTGTCGATCTACTCGTCCGAGCCTGCCCTTTGGAGTTGAGCAAAGGTCCGCCACTGTTCCTTTGCTAGCTGGCTTTAGGAATGCTCAAGGATCACACGAAAAACAGCCTTGGAAATGTCCTTTTCACCGGGAAACTGAACATAATTACCCCAAATCTGAGCAAAAGGCCCAGGGTTGATTGAAGCATCGGTCTGGATGGCACCCTGAATGGGTCGACCACCCACGCTCCTGAGCATCGCCCGGGATTGTATGCAAACTGGCATGAACTGGCCGAATGGGTGCCAAAATAGATGTGCCAAAATGTGCCAAGTTCTTTTTAGCCACTGTGATCCACTGTGTGAGCATCCCTTGAGCTTGAGTCTGAATAGTGCGGCCAACACCGGACACAATTCCCTGCCGCTTGAGTCACTTGAACTCAGTTGGTGTGACAAATGCGATAGCATTGCGGTAGCCGCTAGCGCCCGCCAGGTGCAAAGTGCGCCTTTGTGAGGGTGTGGTCTAAGCCGAACCTTGGTGCGAGTCATGGGACTGTTTCAAACTGCTCTTGTTGAGTTCATTCCCTTCAGCAGACTCCGTACAATGCCATGTATGACACCATGTCATTTCTAGGCTGTGATCAAACATGGCATCTGGCTGCAACCTCTGCTTGCTGGCAAGGAGCGGATTTCCAATTGCGAACACTTCCTGGCCTACTCTGAGGTTGGCTGACATACCTCACACAATTCTAGCATATGTCAAGCTGGGGTGCTCGGAGAAGCGGGGGCGCTCAGAGACTTCAAATGATGCTAATAGGCTGGCACCTTTCGCCAGGGGCCGTAAAAGGGATTGACGACTGGCTGGCAAGTCTACCTCAAGCACGAATAGATGAAAAAATGCAAAGATGCTACAACAACGCGAAGGAATTCGCACATCTGGAATCCAGAATCATGTGTGTAGCCAGGTGCATAGGTGGCAACAACTGATGGCTGACAGCTGCGCAGCAGAAGGTGCCAAGGCTCTCCATTTGTTTTTCAAACCGTGTGGCGATCTAGCGCAGGGTAGAGGACACGTTGGGAGCTTTTCAGCAAGCTAGTAACTTTTGTATCTGCTTGCGAACTGGTGAGATGCTGGCTCGATAGCTGAAGCACACCGGGGAGCATTGGCAAGTCGTGATTTCACAATGTTCAAATATCTTCGATCAACATGATCAACTCACTTCTTGAACACATAGAGGGTGTCACAAGAGGAGATTGCAAACATGCCAGGAGCGGCACCAAGCGCTCCATGCAAAAATGCAGAGCCTATGGGAACAACTTCTGCCAGGGTCCCGTTGCTCACAGACATATTGGAGGACACAGTCCCCTTGAAGCTGCTTTGCGGGCCATAGACTTTGTACATCTTCCCATCCGAGCGGCCGACGATTACCACACCATTCCCATCAATCATTGGAGCACTCCAGTGCGCGGGCAAACAAACGGGCTGAAGTTTCTCCTTGGCCCTGGTCGGAAATCCTTCGAAATCCCCAGCAGCTTGGCCTTCTGGGCCGCTGTAGGGGGTCACCGGATGGCTCCACAAAGTAGCTCCTGTGGCTGCGTCCAGAGCCAGGATCTCACCGTGCAGATTCTCCTGACCCATGAAGGATCCAGGGACAACCACCACAGCCAAGGGCTCCACACCTGCCACATGCCCAATAGATGGGTAGCTATTGCAAGGCATGGGAGTTTCCACATACCAAGCCTCCGTCCCATTGGACACATGGAAAGCTCTGACAATGCCAACGCTTCCTTCAGATCCAGTCTGGTTCTTGGGATTACTGCAGCTGTAGACCATCTTTGGCCCTAGACCTGCACCTCCATCACTAAAGGATTCTCGGGAGCTCGGTGGTAATGTCTTCCAAATTTCGGCTCCAGTTGCCAGGTTCAAGCGATACATCCCACCGGAAAAGTCCATGAAAATGCAACTGCCATCTCCCGGAAACAATGGAGTCAGGTTCCACACGGGCCTGGGCGCTGGTTGACTATAGTGACTATAGGATCTTTGTTGGATTCCTTTGCTCTTGCCAAAGAATCCAGTCAAAGATCGGAGATCAATGAAAAAAAGAACGCAATTTTAAAACAAAAGGCATCAAAAGGCAAAGAAAACTAGAGTAACAAATACAAACAAATGAATACACATGAAAATAATATATAGATTGAGGCCAACAAGTGGCTTGTCTGGATTGTACTCCCACAACTTGGTGCCTTGCTTCGCATCAAGGGCAACTACTTTCTTGTTTCCTCCATTGGTCTCTAGTGACACACTTGCGCCTGCCACAAAAATCCCATCGTGAGCCGCAGGATATCCACAGTCTCCACCCGCATCAGGTGCCATGTTTGTCACCCAAACTTCCTGGCCGCTCTGTCGATTCACTGCGAAAGCATTGCCAAGGGTGGTTGTCCCCAAGACCAATTCTCCGACCAGCGTGATCTCATTGTTGGACCTGCCAGGTGGATTGTAGTGCCAAATCTGTTGTCCTGTTGAATTCAAGGCGAAAAGGCCCTTGTTGGTCATCTGGAACAGGTTCTTGTCCTGATCAATCACCGTTCCACCAGCAAAAACGTTGTGATACTGGCCCTTGGGATCATGGAAAGTCCAGGCCAACGAGTGACTGGTCCATGCTTCGGGTGTCTGGCCAGAGGCTCTCCAGGGACTTCCCCGAGCATGTGGCCATGGGTGGTTGGCACTTCGAGTCTGAGCTTGTACCTGCAAAAACTGGGCACTGCAGGAAGAGTCCTGGCAGGTGCCATCCTCCGAAGCATCCACTGCCGTCAAGGCCGTCAGTGCCCAAAAGATCCAAAAGCACCGGACCAAAGCCATGTCAAATTGGGAAAAGTATGAAAATGCCCCCGCAACTTCCTCAACTGAAACGCTTTTTGATAAACGCGAAGACCTGGAGCCAAAACCAGGAAGCATAGCATGTGAATCGTAGAAATCAGATTTCGGTGAGAAGTAACAAACACTGGGCCCGGGCAGGGCTTCAGCAACGAAAGTAACCGAAAGTACCGACAGTATTCAATAGTCAATAGTCTCAGAGATCTCAGAGTGAGTTCATCTCAAATATACGAAGGTGCTGCTCGTTCGGCCTTGAGAACGGCAACATCGCTGTAAGGGTCCGCTCCCACTACCTTTGCCACCACCTCCCAGCGATGCAAGTGTCGGCCAAAACTATTACTGTAAAATGTATATATTCACTGGTCCTGACAGTCCTGATCTCCACATAACCCATCAGATTCCAAGAAGAGAACAGGCGACATCAGGTGAGAAATCATGAGAAGTTCTGAGAACTACGTCCAGATGATCATAACTGAACAAAGAGAATGATGCACTGAGCCCGAAATGAAGGATCCCAACAGAAAACAGTTTCCACATGTTTCCACCTCAGTTCCCTCAATGAACTTTACGGTGACAAAGCTTGATTGCCTCAGTGGATTGGCACACTGTGACACTGCATGAAAGGGAAAACATGGTAATTCCAGTGTGGTCTGACCCATGCCACTCTATGGACTGCTACAGTAGGCTGCAGGATGCTGCAGGGTTTCTTCAGTGTCAAGACGCTTCAAAACCCTGGCCAACTATGGCTAGTTCCTGCTAGTTTGGATTACAGTAGTTTGAAAGTCTTGCTCATTTGCGTTGCGAGGCACTCAATGACATGATAGTTGGTGACAATGTGACCCTCATCATCATAGACCTCATAAAACTTCTGAGTTGCTGCAGTGCGACATATCTCTAAATGATTCCAAGTGTTTGTGCTGAGTGCCCGAAAAGAGAAAAATGGAAAATGGTGAAAATAAGGCTCCAAACCCAGCCGCTGCCAGTTCCCTTTGGAACAGCCTGCTACGTCCGTTTCCATGTCTTGGTGCAGCTCAGTGTCTCCGCATGACTACGTCGTTCCCCCTTTGTTGGTTCATCCCATTTCATCCCTACGTCCTGACTCCGTCGAATCACACTGCTGTCAATTGTCTGCCCTTGTCTCCTGAGGATGGCATAGTGTTAGTATGACAAGCGCAAACCCGCCTGGAGCTCTGACTGTGAGAGCTTGAAAACCTGGAAAATTCTTCGTGAATTTGACTCATTCATAATGGCATATGATGCCTTGGCTTCTGTATTGTCCAATCTGCACCATCGTCTAGAGTGAAGGTGCCTCGTTAGTGATGAACACGACCCCTGGAGTGTTCTTCTGGAACCTCAAAAGTACTGGGGACATTCTTTCAAACCGACCAGAAATCCGCACTCAACTGCGGAAGCGATGTCTTGCCAAAAGCGACAGAGAACCCAACTGAAGAAGCGAATTCTGCACAAACAACGCTGAGGTGAGCACAACTCCACGGACAAAGACTCTGCAGGATTGAGATCCTCAAACGCCTGAATCATGCGCAGCCGCTGGATGAACAGTGCCAGCCCACATGTGACATGCAAGAATACATGGAGCCAGCGCAAATGTTCCCGAACTCATGAAGATCATGAAGTGTTGATAAACACCGTAGATCTACTGTGAAGATTTATGAAGCAATATTTCGATCTGTTACTGTAATATGTTGATATATTTCGACATATTCTAAGTTTCTCTCTTGCACATTGAGAGCACATTGGATCGGGCTCTTCCCCTGCAGTTGCCTGCACTGGCTGCACTGCCTGACAAGTCAAAGTAGATTCGGCATGCTGAGCTGTACAAATGCGCAAACCTGGACAAATATTGGCGTGATTCGTACAGAAAATATCAAAAAAAAAACATCCGCAAAACTTGACTCAGGAGTCTGGCCAGCATCAACGCACACGCTGCCGCGCTAAGGCTCTGCCAAAAAGGCCTTGGGCAATTGGATTCAGGGAGCTTGGGCTTGACTGTTACATACTTTCACCATAAAGCTGGCTAGTCTTGCAGTCCGGCATGCCTCCTACTAGCATGCGGTTCCGTGCAAGCCATCTGCTACACATAGTGCCACAACATACTTCACCCATCTTCAGCCAACATAACTTCAGCCAACATGTCCAGAAGCTGCAAATCATCATGGAATTCAATGTGCAAAAGGGTTCATGTGCATGCATGTGCAACTGGACAGGTGTAGGATCTAGTCTTACCACTGCTGGACAGGTGAAGTATCTGTTCTTATCAGTGCAACGACTGGAGGCTCTTTAAGGATCAAAAGTCGCGCTGCTCTGCCTAACACAGGTTATGAGCCCAACGCTCAGCTGAGGGGCGCCTGCCATGTCGTGGACTAGGTCGAGTTCGGTGCCACGTGGTGGAAGTGGACCTCGTGCTCTACGGCTGGATCAAGAAGGCCAAGAAGGGCATGGAAGAGACCGAGCTGGACATGACGGCAGAGACCTTCGGCGTGGAGATGAAAGAGCTCTACCCAATGGCAGTGATGGTCAAGGTGGAGGACGAGCTCTACTACGAGGCGAACATGGAGGGGCTCTGCGGCAAGAACTGGATGTGAGCACTGACCTGTTGGACTTAGGCACCGAGCCGAATCCGTGGTGGTCAGAGGTGGTTCAACGAGAACACCTACAAGAAGCACGTCAGTTGGCCATGGAGCAGCCGATGTGGACGCCAAGGGAAGAGGTCTCAGTCAAGGAGGACCTTCCGGAGATAGAAGATGCAGACGCGTCGCGAGAGTTGGAGCCGCTGGCAATGGGACGAATGAGTGCTCCGTCGAGTTGGAGTACAAGACGAGGTGTGGCCTTGCAGACTCAAGGGGCTATGCCATCAAATGATGATGAAGACCTTCGGCATCCTCAAGATGTTGGACAAGGTCAACATGCTGTACAGATTCAAGGTGTAGACCTTCGACATCCTCAAGATGTTGGACAAGGTCGACATGCAGTACACCCTCAAGGTGTGGACCGACAGTATCCTCAAGATGCTGGACAAGGTCAAGACCTTCGGTATCCTCAAGATGCTGGACAAGGTCACCGTGAAGTACACCCTCAAGGTGTGGGCCGACAGTATCCTCAAGATGCTGGACAAGGTCAACAAGCTGGACACCCTCAAGGTGTCGAACAATGTGGACACCCTCAAGGTGTTGGACGTGATGGGCACCCTCAAGGTGTCGAGCAAGATGAACACCCTCAAGGTGTTGAACAAGTTGGGCACCATCGAGGTGTCGCAGCAGGGCTACTTGCTGGAGAAGTGCAACGTTCTGGCAAGGGGCATGGTCAAGGAAGAGTGGTGCGGCCCAATGGGATGGGAGGTGAGATACCATCTCATGGGGTTGCAAGACAAGGTGGGAAGACTGGAGGACTGGGAGGTGAGATACCAGTTCAAAGGTCTGACATCATGCAAGAGGCTGGACACCATCGAGGAGTCAGCCGTGGACCCTCAAGGTCTGAAGTTAATGTGCAAGAGGCTGGACACCATCGAGGAGTCAGCCGTCATGGACCCTCAAGGTCTGAAGGAAATGTGCAAGAGACTGGACGCCACCGAGGAGTCAGTCATGGTTATGGACCTGAACGACGTCAAGTTCAAGGTCATCGAACAGTACCAAGTGGTCTGCGAGATCAATCTCAAAGACGAGGTCATCGGCAAGATGATGGATCACCCTTGGAAAGAGTTCCAATGGGAGTGCAACAGTATGAGATGAGACGACAGATGCCACGTGAGGCAAGTCGACAACCACAAGGTGCAGTACAAGGTTGTAGCAGCTTGTAGCACAACTACCTTTGTGGATGATGTCAATCAACAAGGGAGAGATGAGCGTGATGAGCTCAAGCGGGCTTTGGAGCAATCAATGGTTGAAGAGCTTCACAGACAGAAGCTTGAGATGGAGAAACAAAAGGAAGAGATGAAGAAGTATGCTGAGGACTTGCAACGCCAGCGTGATGAGTTTGAGAAGAAGAATGAGGAGTTGCAGAAGGAGCTCAAGAAGAAGAGTTCAAGCGTGGAACCACCAAGGACACCACCGCGCCGACCTCAGTACTACTCGCTGTCACCAAGAACAACACCTGGAGGAACTCAAGTTCCCCCGGGACAACCACCACGGGAGGTAGCAGATCTTCCAGAACTTCCACCATGGCAGTTTGACCCATTTGCAGTTGATGAGCACGTGGGTGGTGGAACAGGTTTTGATGGTTTGGAGGATTTTTGGACTCCAGTGGATCAACAACCACAACAGCAGCATCATCTTCAACCTGGAGCAGATCGTTTTGCATGGTTGGACAGAGAGGTCAGGATGATGCATGGCGAAAGACCAAGGTTGACAGGTGAGTACTGGGAGCAACCGGTGCACAGGCATGGTGGTCCACCAGCGGATTTTGGCTATGTTCCGCAACCACCACCACAACCGCCTCAAGGACATGGAGTTGGACCTTATGGTGTACCAATGTTTGCAGCACCAATGCAATATGGTTCAATGCCACTGCAATGGCAACAACCTCAACCACAAGCAAAAGGTCCTGATGGCGAAGCTTCTGAGGTGCTGAGAAATGTGCCGATTACACTGCCAACTCTGAAGGACGTGTCAGAGCCTCAAGCTGCCCTTCGTGCAGGAGATAGGTTAAGTGAGTTGATGCCGCTGATCTCAGATGTCTCAGAGGGGGCAAGAGTGTGGTGGACCGGACTAGTACAAAGAGCTCAAGATGCCTATGCCACATGGCTGACAGCGGGTCCAATGGATCGCATGGCTGTGCAACCTGACCTTCAAGTGGAGAACAAGTATGTCAGGTTGGAGTCTCGCGTGCTGTCAATGTTGTTAGCTGCAGTGCCACAGACGGTCAAACAAGAAGCAATCTCTTTGCGAGAGATGACATGCGTGCAGTTGGTGTTTCGCATCTTGAAGCTGTACCAACCTGGTGGTCTCAACGAGAAAAGCACCATCCTCAACAACTTGACCCAAACCACAGCAGCCAAATCTGCAGCTGAAGCTGGTGAGATGCTACGCCAATGGCGACGTCAACTCCTGCGAGCTCGTGAACTTGGACTACAGGTTCCAGATCCCTTGCTGCAGGTGAGCGCACTTTCTGAAGTGATGCGGACAGTGATTGCGAGGGAGCATCAAGCGAGCTTTCGCATCAGCAACTTCCGCATGACCCATATGGTGGACGTGGCGCCTACACAGCTTACAGCGGAGAACTATCTGCAGATGTTGATTGCCGAAGCGGATCACTTGCATCATGGAACAATGACGAAGGCAAGTCCGACTTCGGGCAACCCCAAGATCAATGTGGTCAATGCTGCTGGTGACAAGGGTGGTGGCAAGAAGGGATCTCCTGGTAAGAAAGGCTATGGCAACAATGCAGAAGGCAGTGGTTATGGTGCAGGAGCTGGAGCATGCAGGCATTGGGGTAAACCTCAAGGATGCCTCAAGGGTGACAGATGCACCTATGCCCATGAGTGGAACAATCTCAACGACAAAGAGAAGAGATGTTGGAAGTGTTCCAGTTTGGAACACATTGCCAAAGACTGCACGGCTGGTGACAAGGTTATGACAAGTCCTGGTGATAGAAGCTCCAAAGGAAGCCCCAAAGGCAAGGGAAAGACAAAGGATGGCAAGAACGATAAGGGCAAAGGCAAGGACCGGGACAAGCCAGTCGGGGGAGTGGATCAGTCCTCAAAGGATTCACAGCCTCAAGTTGCCCAGATACAACAGCAACCTCAAGTTGCCCAGATACAACAGCAACCTCAAGTTGCTCAGATACAACAGCAACCTCAAGTTGCTCCGACACAACAGCAACCTCAAGTTGCTGAGGTACAACAGCAGCCTCAAGTTGCTCAAGTACAACAACAAGTTCAGCCCTCAGTCATGGGTGAAGTGGCCAGTCTTCTGAAGACAATGCGAACAACGTCAACGACTCCAAGGGTGTTGGCGGTGGTGGCTGATAACAATCAGGGTGTGCTATTGGACTCAGGGGCCACGCATATCCTTAGAGGACCCTATGATGAGACTGAGTGGATGCAGGCGATCCCAACAGAGGTACAAACGGCAACTGGAAAAACACAGCTGAGGATGTCAAAGATGAGCAGATCGTTGTTGACAAAGGATGATCTGCAGCCAATTGTGCCTTTGGGAATGTTGACTCAGCATGGATGCAAGATGAGGTGGCATCGCGATGGGTGCGCTCTCACACATGGCAAGCTGGGTGAAGTGAAAGTCACAGTTCGTGACAATTGTCCCTACGTGACCAATGATGTGGGGATGAAGCTCATTCGAGAGCTGGAAACTGCTGAGAAGAACAAGCAGTTGATGTTGCGAAGTTTGGAAGTCACAGGTTGGAAACAGGAAGATAAGGACATGGCCGACAAGCTCAAGAAGTTGTTTCCTGAAACACCTGTGGAGTTGTTGCAACCTATGGTGAGTAAAGCTGGTGATGAGGCTCGATTGCCATGGAATCGCCATCAACAGCGACGCTTCAAGAAGGCCAAGGGCATTGTGCTGAATTTGTTTTCAGGCCCAGATCAAGCGTGGTGGTCAAAAAGAATGCCACACGACATCGAAGTGGTGAATGTGGATCTACTTCGAGGACAAGATCTTTTGGACTCAGCAGTTTGGCACTTTTTACTACAGTTTGTGAGATCGGGTCGAGTGGTTGCAGTACTCGCTGGCCCACCGTGCAGAACAGTATCAGCTGCACGTTACCGGTCTGATGGAGGACCGCGGCCTGTGAGGTCGAGACATGGTTTACAGAGGTTTGGCCTGGACACCAACACGATGATGGAGCAACAGTTGGCAGACACTGACAGCCAGCTCTGGCTGAGAACACTGCTCTTGATGTATGAGGCCAAGCTCTACAACCCCGATGTCAAGGCCGTAGTGGAGACTCCAGAGGATCCAATGACGTACAGGCAAGACGAAGTTGAATATGCCTCTTTCAC